CTAATGTATTTGTTTGTGTGATGTATTTGGCGCGGCAGTGAGCCAAATATTTTAGTTTATTTGCTCTACAGCTTGTTGACCTTGCTTATAGCAGATGTTAGGTTTGTATCTCTGATTCTAGCCATTCTTTCATCAGGAAGCCCAGGTTTGCTATTTTAAAATGTATCCCAAGCGTTCCTTGTTCAAGGTCACAGAGTATAAACAGCTATTCTACTCACCTTAAGTTTTTGTTCTGTAACAGGATTCATACCTTGCTAGTGAAGTGATGTAATTGAACTTGATTTTGTCTCAGCAGGTCGTTCCTGGTACATAAATATTTCTGTGTGTCTAATTCTCACCTGCAAAAACTCCTTAGCTGGGAGACAGCTATACAGGGGAGCCTACTGTCCATTGTTACCAGAAGCTTATGGCCAGGCATAGGCAAACTCGGCCCTCCAGATGTTTTGGGACTACAACTCCCATCATCCCTAGCTAACAGGACCAGTGGTCAGGGATGATGGGAGTTGTAGTCCCAAAACATCTGGAGGGCCGAATTTGCCTATGCCTGCTTATGGCTTTCTAAATACAAGGGTACATTCTAGAGACTCCTCACGCAGGGCAGGATCTGCCATAAGGTGTCTGTCTGGACACACACATTTTGTATCCATGGGCAAGGGTGTGTATGCAATATCCACTCCTATGTTGCTCTGTGCACTCAGTCCCTGGCCATGGAAAATATCTGTAGAGGACCATCTCCTCATGTTCATCTGAATGCAGACAGAACCCTTGGTGTGATTGGAGACACAGATAAAGCATGACCCTCCAATTGAACAAAGTGTTGTACTGGTGTTCAAGCAAACAGGAGAAGCCCCCTGCAGACCTTCTCTGCTCAACGGTGGGAATGCCCCCAAATCCAACTATTCTGGACAACAGCCATACAAGAAATATGTAAAATAACTAAGGAAGTACAGTGGTACCTCGGGTTACAGACGCTTCAGGTTACAGGCTCCCCTAACCCAGAAATAGTACCTCGGATTAAGAACTTTGCTTCAGGATTAGAACAGAAATCATGTGGTGGCGGCAGTGGGAGGCCCCATTAGCTAAAGTGGTGCTTCAGGTTAAGAACAGTTTCAGGTTAAGAATGGACCTCCGGAATGAATTAAGTTCTTAACCCGAGGTACCACTGTATTAGAAATCGCCCCAGAATTGGCTCTACTAAACATATTCCAAGACGATAATGCCCACTTACATCACAAAGAACTCATAACCCACCTACTTTCAGCACCTGGAAACATCATAACCAGACACTGGAGAGACCTGTCAGGAGTAAGCATGGACGAGTGGTAATAGTATGGGAAACATAACCAATAAACTGAAACTGACATGGGGACAAACAGAAGAAGATGCCTTCACCCTGGTATGGCTCCCCTTCATCACATACACAGCCCAACAAGACAATGACAAGAATTCGCCAAAAGCATATGAATCAATATGAGTAACCTAATTCAAAGCACCCACCCACCCCACTCACTCATGAAAACAAAGTTCACCACAGCCAATCACAAACAAGCAACCTCACCCTAGGCCAACCCCAAATTCTCTCACCACCAAAGGAACACAAGCAAATAGCAAAGAGAACCTACACAAACGACACTGACACAAAACCCCACACATACATTAAGTAAAATAGAAACATCGCCACCCAACCCCAAACCCACCCACCATGGCTCCCTCCACCTCTTCCTCCCTTTTCTTCCTAATGTAACACTAATGTTGCAACAAATGAAACTGAACTGTAGAAAATGTAACTTGAAAAAAGAGACATTGCACATACTTTTGTAAACCAATAAATCTTTAATAAAAAATACTTTAAAAAAATAAATTACAGGAAAGCCAAGGATTTGGAGGGGCAGTGGCGGGAGACATAAAATGTGCAATAACATTGGGTGGGTCTTGTGTATGTCTGGCTAACAATGTGAAGCAAAAGAGGCAAAGGCAATCCTTTCAGGAGGTTGGCTGCTATTTTTTGAAACAGTGATTCCTACTCATTGGTTTAAGTGGTATCAAGTTTCGTATTAAATAAAACATATTCAGAACTGGAGGATCAGCAAAAGCTGTAAATTATTAAGGAATCATGCTATCACATAACCAGTATGTCTCACTGAAGGCTCCTGTGTTTTTGTTTTGTTTTCTTCAAATAATATTTATTATTTTCAGTAGATAAACATAGTAAAAAAAAGAAAAGATTAACAATAATAAAGACAAACAAAAAAGAAAAGATAAAGATAAAAAAGAAAAAAGATACATACAACATTTTATCACTTAATAAATTAAAATTAAGTACCATCCATCTTCATAAACATAGTTTGTGTTTGTGCAATATGAAGTTCTGTCTGTATTAGTTCATCCATGATGGTCTCTATTCACAACCAAATTAATCTGTGGTTACTTTTCACAAAAGAAAGAGATGGCTGTATGAACTAGCTCCTACACACACACACACACACCCTGATGTTGCTATGTATTTGTTATTTCTTATCTATCTTAAAAAGACTTCTATTGTTTTTCTGCTAATTTGTTGGTTTCTTGATTCTTCACAATCAATACTAGAAAAAACAAAAAGCAGAATTGCCCTCCTCCCCCATATCAAAAATAATCGTGATTGTCTTCCTCTTCCCCAGATGCTCACTCTTATTTTGGTTCACTTGGTATAAAAACAAACAGCGCTCAACTTCCAGAGCTCTTAAAAGAGGAAGTAGCAGTTTGAAAGTTGTGAATTCTAGTGATGACAGGCTGTGAAACAGTTCATGAAAATGCAAATTTTGGACTGCAATCCTGAACACAGCCTAGGGCGGGGAAGGGGAATCTTTGGCCCTCCATATGTTGCTGTGGGTTAAACCACAGAGCCTAGGACTTGCCGATCAGAAGGTCAGCGGTTTGAATCCCCGCGACGGGATGAGCTCCTGTTGTTTGGTCCCAGCTCCTACCAACCTAGCAGTTCAAAAGCACGTTAAAGTGCAAGTAGATAAATAGGTACCGCTCGGGCGGGAAGGTAAACGGCGTTTCCGTGTGCTGCTCTGGTTCGCCAGAAGTGGCTTAGTCATGCTGGCCACATGACCCAGAAGCTGTACACCAGCTCCCTCGGCCAATAAAGCTATATGAGCGCCGCAACCCCAGAGTCGGTTACGACTGGACCTAATGGTCAGGGGTCCCTTTACCTTTACCTATGTTGCTGGGCTATAACTCCCATCATCCCTGACTTCTGGCCATATTGGCTGGAGTTGATGGACATTAGAGTCTAGCAACTTCCAGAGAACCACGAGTTAACCGTCTGGTGTACTGAACTGTGTTCTTATGGAGAACAATGATAAGAGCAATGCTATTCAGGCAGATATGCTGGGGTATCTCCTGTGCATGTTAAGTTATGTCCTAACTGCTCCTGGCCAGGCGGTTTCATGTGTGTGTGCAGGAGCACAAAATATCAGCCTTCATTTTGTGCCTTCCCATTGACTCACACAGGGTGAATTATAAATACACAGGCATTTGGGGTGGTGTAAGTTACTCTGTGGCCAATGAACTCTGACCAGTAAATGAAAATAGTTAGAATATTGTATAGCGAAATTGGAGGATTGTTTATCCTTCTTCCTGCCCCAATACACTCACTCCTCGTCCTCTCTTTTCCCTTTATACTTGATGTAACTCACACTAGCAGGGCTTTTTGTCACCCCAGAGTAAGCAGAGATGTATGCTGGGGTAAGTAATTTACACTGGCTTAAGGCCATTTCAGTTTTGGATAGGGGAGGCATGCTACATTCTAACTTTTCCAGATGGTGCACTGCACCATTAATTTTGTTCTTCAGAGGTGTGAGTAGGAAGTAATTAATAAAGGACAGAGAGAATTTAACTGTGAGCCCAACAAGGTGCCATCTGTCTTTTTAGCTCTGAGTTTACAATCTTTACTTATTTAAGAGGTGATAGCAAACACATTTATTGATTTGCAATATGTTTTCCTTTTATAGCAGTGTCAGTTGTGTCAGACCTTGAAGCAGATGCTAGCCACATGACAGCTATTTTCTCTCTCTCCCATGCTGGTTAACAGATCATCATCATTTGGCATGATGTTCACAACTAGTGTAGGTGATTGCAGGTGGCTTTTGAAACTGCTACTGAAGGTTTGTCCACCTTTTTTTATCCCAGGAAGAAGTACTGACAATTTGATTGCGTCCTATCACCATGCATCTTACTGTATAGCCACACATTCTTCCAGAGGTAAAATGCTAGCCAGACAGCTGATAATTACTCATTGCTACAGCTACAGATATTAACTGATGGGATTAACCAACTGAAGCTTTAAATGCACACCTGTTAATCAAACATTTTTCTATTCCTGAAGAAGAGATTCCTTTTAGGATGTCTGCCCCCCACCAATCCATTTAAGTTTGAGCTCTGTCGAACCCTTTTTATTCTCCATGCCCTGCCAATTAACAGTAAGTTTGACATGGGAGAGGCAGCACCTCACATTGCTTACTAGATAGCAGGGGTACCACAAAACACAAAACAAAACAAAAAATTTTTTTAAAAAGATTGGTAATGTGAGGCAACTCACTTGGAATACATTTTTCTCACTGCTACTAAATTTCCTCTGCAGTGTGCAGATGAAGATGGGAGATGTTTTATCAATCAACACAAACAAGGTCACTGGATTGCCATGTGCCCAACGTGAATACTAAAGTAGGCTACAAGCTACCTTGAAGTTCAAAGGGTGACATAATCATAAACAGAAAATGCAAATAAATCCTCTTCCCTTTACGTTCTCCTTTTGCAGTACTGCCCAGTGACTTTGTACATGGTCTAAGGCAATTAAATCTTTTGCTTCATTTCTCTTCTTCTCGTGAACATTTCCAGTGTTCTCTTGGGCTCATTATTCTAGCTAAACTCATTCTGAATCCCTTACTGGTCAGCTTTGTCAAGAGATCAATCTGATAATATTCAGCACCTTAAATTTATTCTTTGTGAGCAGCATGAGTTATGAGAGCAGGTGAACTTTAAAAGGTAAAGGTAAAGGGACCCCTGACCATTAGGTCCAGTCGTGACCGACTCTGGGATTGCGGCGCTCATCTCGCTTTATTGGCTGAGGGAGCCGGCATTTGTCTGCAGACAACTTCCGGGTCATGTGGCCAGCATGACTAAGCCACTTCTGGCGAACCAGAGCAGCGCACCGAAACGCCGTTTACCTTCCCGCTGGAGCGGTACCTATTTATCTACTTGCACTTTTGATGTGCTTTCGAACTGCTACGTTGGCAGGAGCAAGGACCGAGCAACGGGAGCTCACCCCGTCACGGGGATTCAAACTGCGGACCTTCTGATCGGCAAGTCCTAGGCTCTGTGGTTTAACCCACAGCGCCACCCGGTGAACTTTGCCTAGGTTATAATTAAGTCATCCCCAAGCACGTCTCAAAATTGATAGGATTCCATTAATACTGGAGATAAAGTACAGGATCAAAACGGTACTGTTTTGTCCTCTTCAGTTGGCAACACTGCATGCAGTGCCTGATATGGCAACTTTACAGAGGAAAATTGTGGCCCTTGACCTTTGGTTCTACATTTGCACCCTATCACTTTGGGGGGCAGTGACAGGGTTTTCCACCTACTCCATCAGTGATATTCCAGAGCAAATTGGATCAAAGCAACACACACACACACGTGAGTTGCATACTTAAATCTACTCAACAACTAATGGGTTCTAACGGGCAGCATAAGAGAAAGCAATTTGAAAAGTCACTTGCTGCCAAACAGTGATAGTGAGGGTCACTTGGAAGCTATAACTCCAGCACACGGGTTTGAAGGGGGAGCCCTCTTCCCTTGGGACAAAACATCTTGAGCCCACAGAGGGGTATGGAAGTCTGCGTTGGACTCAGGGGTGCCAACTTGAATAAAACATTGGGGAAGGGCCATGATGCGGCGCGCGCACCCCACTTGAATGGCAATGCCCATCAACTTGGAGGGGGCCCCCCTCAAATATTTTGGGTGGCCCGAAGACCCCTCGGCCCCTAGGTATGGGTTCCTAGGGTCGGATCCGTTGGAAAGGCCCGTGAGCTGTGTGGGGCTCCAGGCTGCCGTGATCCCCCTCCAAAGCGCCTGCAGCTACGCTTAAGCGACGGCGCTGAACACGGGCGGGCGGGACTCCCTCCCCTGGCCGCCTCCTTTTCCGCCCCAGGAGCCTCAGGCTCCGCCTCCTCCTCCGGCAGGTGTGTTGCTCGGCGTCCTCCGGCTTCGCCGCCCGCTCACAATGCGTGGCCGCCGCCGCCGCCGCTGCTTCTGCGCACTGGCAAGGAGGAGACCCGGCTGGAAGGAGAAGGGGAGGCGGGGAAGGCAAGGCAAGGAGAGCGTGGGAGAAAGAGTGGCGCCTCCTCCTCCTCCTCCTGCTGCTGCTGCTCCTCCTGCCGCCGCCGCCGCGTACCAGCGAGTGGAGCGCAGTCGAGGTCGTCCCGCTGCCAGAAGAAGTGCGCCTTCGCTGGGCGCCTCTCTCCCTCGGGCGCCGCCGCCGCCGCCGCCGCGGCTCCTCCTCAGAGCAGCCCGGGGACAAAGCGGGACGCGGCGTCTCCTTGAGAGGTGAGCGCGCGCGGGAAGCCCGGCGGGATTAGGACGCGGCGCTCGCTCGCTCGCTCGGGCAGCTGAACCACCGGCTCGTGGACCTTCAAAGGGGGGGGTGAGGGGTCCCCTTACAAATATATGCATAATGTTCTGCTGGTGACGTTGGTCGGAAGGGCACGGGGCGGAGGGGACGGCGGGCCCTGCTTAGCAAGAGGCGGCAGCAGCGCCTCAGCCGGGCTAATTGCCCCAGTGCCGCAGAAAAAAAAAAAAGTCCACTTGAGTTCTGCGGCTCGTGAAGCGGAGCTTTCTGGGCTGCCCCTCAGCCAATAACGAAGGGGGTTCTCTCTCTCTCCCCCCCCCCACCCGCCCCGTCTGCGCTGCCCGGTTGCCAGGGCAACCCCAAACAGCGCCTTAGAGAGGCCGGCGCCACTGCTGCAGCCCTCGCGTGCGGTTTCAAGTTGACTCGCAGGCGGCTCGGTTTCTGCGGAGCCTGTTGGGGAGCGCGGGCTGGGGGGGGGGGGGGGAAGGACAGCGCTACGGAGGAAACGGGCCGGGGTGGGGGTGGGGAGGCGGGAAGAGTTACGCTGGAGCAAATGTGTTTGGGATGGCAGTGTTGCTTTTCGTGTTGGTTTTGTGCCATGCAAAGGAGGGGGGGGGGTTGGCAGGTGCTGCTTGTCCTGTTGAGCAGGAGGTGAGGAAATGCCGCCGTTTTCCATTCTGCACGACTATTGAAGGCGCAAAGGCCGCCTCTTAGCGTTCGCTCCCTGCCTGTAAGAATACAAGGCTGCATAATAGCGGGGAGCAGAATTGCTTCTGGGGAGGGGTTCAATCCACAAGTGGTTTACCACGGTTCTTTCGTTTCTCTGCAACCCTTTAGATGAGGGAGGTGCTGTCTGACTACAATTCCCATCATCAGGGGCCCTTGGCTGTGCTGCCTGAGGGTGATGGGAGTCCCAGTGAAGAACATCTGGACAGGTTCCCCTATCACCGTTTCAGATTATTCTTCTGCTTTCGGGGAGTGTGTGCTCTGTACTTTCCAATCTTCAGGTTGCTTAACAGGAAAATGGACAAAATTGTTAGGTGATTTCAATACCTTTCAGTGCATAAATGGCCAGGTGATGCTGTTCATCGTTGTGTGGTGGACAAAGCTGCTTTTTATGAATTTCTATTAAATAAAAGATATTTAATTTTTTTTAAAAAATGAATTTCTGTCTTTCATAGAGCCATTAAAGGACACAGCAGACCTGCTGGAAAATGTGCCAACCCTATATGAACTATTCTTCTACTTGAGTTTCTTTTTGTGATTACTTAAAAACTGTGCAGGACTGAATTTAATGTTTTCTATAATTATACGTCACTTGGTCATTTGAAACTAGGCTGTTACCTTGCTATTATTTTAGCGTCTGAGCAAAGTTTAAATTGTTACCAAGGTGGTTTTTAAAAAGATTACTTGGTGTGTAAAAGATCTCATTTAATCTTTTTAAGATTATATATTTCAGTGCAAATAATACCCAGTGTTACTGGCATTGAAATATATAATATTAATCTTTGCAGTACAATTATATGCCTATTTATTTGGTAATAAGTCCCACTGTGTTCAGTAGAAGTTATATGTTAGTAAGGGTGTTTAGAATAGCAGCCTTAGGTTTTTAAGTAGGTAGCATTTAAGATCCCAAGGGGAAAAGTTGCTATGAGAGTGTGCTGTGCTAATTGTTTAGCCTTCTGCTGCTACCCAATCTCCATAAAGCTGATTTTGTTCTCTTTCAGTGAAATCAGGTGGCAGTGACGACTTATATCTACTTGTTGTCATAGGGGTCCCTAAGGACCCAGAGTACCAGCAGTTACTTGTGAGAATTCTGACAAATATTATTTATATTTTATGATAACACTGATTAAAAATGTAATTTAATTTAATTTTATTATTGTTCAAGGGAGTTAAGTGTGGAAAACCTAGTGCATCCATTTTGCCGAGGCAGAAACCTGGAATGAAGTTAGCCTAAGGTGACTTTTTTTCCCCCACATGCAAAAATATATGCATGAGTAGTTCATTGCATGCACAGAGCACCAGCCAGCCCTTAATCAGCTGACCCACTTTTTGAATTGAGGGGTGTTTGAAATATGGGTCAACTCAGTATGAGCTGCCTAAGTGTCTGGACAAAAGGTAGATATTTCAGAATAGACTCCTGCCTAAAACGTTCCGTTTCAATTCTGATTCTTCTGTCAGGTCAAAATGGTGGTGTAAATCAACTCCCAGGCTTGGACTAGGTAGTTAAGATAGTAAACACACACACACACACACACACACACACACAGAGAGAGAGAGAGAGAGACAGAGACAGAGACAGAGACAGAGACAGAGACAGAGACAGAGACAGAGACAGAGACAGACAGACAGACAAGCATTGAACTAGCCAGTTTGCGAACATAAGAACAGCCTGCTGAATCAGACCAGTGGCCCATCTAGTCCAGCATCCTTTTCACACAGTGGCCAACCAGATGCCTGTGGGTAGCACACAAGGAGGACCTGAGCACAACAGCCCTCTCACCTCCCGCGGTTGCCAGCGACTGGTGTTCAGATGCGTATTGCCTCTGACAGTGAAGGCAGATCATGGCCACCTGGGCTAGTAGCTGCTGATAGCCTTATTCTCCACAAATTTGTCAAATTCTCTTTTTTAAGCCAACCATGTTGATGGCTATCACTGCTTATTGTAGGAGTGATTTCCATAGGTTAAATGTGCTGTGTGAAGGAGTACTATACAGAGGTACCTCTGGATGTGAACGGAATCCATTCTGGAGCCCCATTCGCATCCAGAAACAAACATAACCTGCGTCTGCATGTCTGCGTGTGCACGGGGTGTGATTCGGCGATTCCGCGCATGTGTGTGATGTCATTTTGAGTGTCTGTGCATGCGTGAGCGGCAAAACCCAGAAGTAACGTGCTCCATTACTTCCGGGTCGCCGTGGAGCACAACCATAAAATATTCATCCCGAAGCTACTTCAACCCGAGGTATGACTGTACTGAATTGAAAGCTGAGCCTCATATCGGCCGTGGTTAGTTGCATGGATACTAAAAGCTGACACTTTAATTTTACAGATGCCCAAGGTAATTACTGAACTAGAATTAAGTGGCGCTGTGGGTAAAACCTCAGTGCCTAGGACTTGCCGATCGCATGGTTGGCGGTTCGAATCCCCGCAGCGGGGTGAGCTCCCGTCGTTCGGTCCCAGCTCCTGCCCACCTAGCAGTTCGAAAGCACCCTTAAGTGCAAGTAGATAAATAGGTACCGCTTTATAGCGGGAAGGTAAACGGCGTTTCCGTGTGCTGCTCTGGTGCTGGTTCGCCGGAGCAGCGTCGTCACGCTGGCCATGTGACCCGGAAGTGTCTGCGGACAGCGCTGGCTCCCGGCCTCTAGAGTGAGATGAGTGCACAACCCTAGAGTCTGTCAAGACTGGCCCGTATGGGCAGGGGTACCTTTACCTTTACCTAAGTAAGTACCCTGTTCCCCCCCCCCCCGTCAACTGTCAACTTGCTTTGTTCCGCCTGTGACAGTTCCTGGGGAAGACATTAAGAATATGGTTGCCATATGTCCTCTTTTTCCAGGACACATCCTTTTTTTCATGGCTAGAGTCATCATAGTGATCCATAGTTATAAGTAGAAGTTGACAAATGAGTCCTCTTTTTTGATCTTCACAATATGGCAACCCTAATTAAGAATTAAGGTGTTAAGAATGTCATTCTTTTAGCGGATGCTTTGCTTTCCCATCGTCCCGTATAACAATTATTGCCGAGTATATACTGGATATAAACTAACCTCCGCGTAAGCTTTATGTAAGCAAATTATAATGAATGCTCAATAAATAGGCCATCTGAATGGGCCCTAAGTTTCTCTCCTGGGTATGGAGAGAAAATCAACAACCTGCCTCTGTAGTTCTCTCCTGAAAGTTGCCTGTTTAGGACATGTTTTACCCTTTTCTAGGAATATTTTAAATTTATCAATTACAAAGATTTCTCATTGGAGGAGGGAGGAGAATCCCTGCCATAAGCAGGATGCCTTTGCTCTGTGTAGGGAACAGGATCCAATTTGAATCTGTTTAGCACTCAGTAAATCAAAAGGCACAAGGTGGAACAGAAGTTTCTAGTTCAGCGCCTTCAGGGAATGACTCATCAGGACAGTGCCTTTTTCTAGGGCTGCTCAAGGGTACGCAATACTGACACCTTTCCCTCTCCAAATGTTTAAAGTGTGGCACTTACTGTAACAGCTTCATGGTGAGTACCGGCACTATTTTTTTCTAAAAAGAAAAGCAACCGCACTGCACCAGGAAGAACTGTAGTTGCTGCCAACCTGCATTCCAGTCCAACCATGGCTAGGCAACCCAGAAGGTGTTTGGTATCTAAAGCTGATGAGGCTCCATCTGCAATACTCCCCTTGTTCATGTTCCAGCATGGGTCATCCACCAGAGTTTCGGTCTCCAAACCAGGCCAAATTGGTTGCATCCAGATATACCTTGAGTTGAGACACTGCTACATGCTCTCATTATAACCTGTCTCTGACCTGTCACTGAAGGCTCCTCTAGCCATCAATAATATCTCCCCCCACCCCACCCAGTTCAAAATATCAAATAAAGTACATGTTCTGTTACATAAACATGGATATGTTTCAAATCACATAGAGGGAGAAAGTAGGATGCATGTCTGATTTTTAATAGTGAAAGAGGCACACAGTGCCAAACCCTTTCCCACCCACAGCCCACTCCCCTATAGACCTTTCCAATGCCCCCCCCTTAGCAGAATTCCCAATACCAGACATTAACTTGACTGGCCGAAAGAGAACTTGGAGAGGGGTCACGATTGCTAGCTCTCCAATGCTCAGCTTGCTCTGAACCCTGCTCACCTCTTCTGTTGTCTCACACCAATCCAAATACTAATCATTGCTGTCCGATTGGGATGGAAAGAAGACCCACGCAGACAGAGAAGGCCCAACATAAAGGTCCAAGCAAACATTGCAGCCACAGAGCTCATTTTGTTCAGCAAGTGAGCATGGAGGGGAGTCTGGCAATCACCCTAACATTGCCGTGAGGCATCCATTGGCAACGCATTGATGGCTCCAGAGTTAAAAGAATCAGGTACAGTGGTGCCCCGCAAGACGAATGCCTCGCAAGACGGAAAAACCGCTAGACGAAAGGGTTTTCCGTTTTGGAGTTGCTTCGCAGGACGAATTCCCCTATGGGCTTGCTTCGCAAGACGAAAATGTCTTGCGAGTCTTGAAATTTTTTTTTCGCTTTCCCCCCCCTTTATCTAATCTGCTAAGCCTTTAATAGCCTTTAATAGCCTTTTAGCAGCTAATCCCCTAAGCCTTTAAGCCTTTAATAGCCGCTAAACCGCTAATAGCGTTAATAGCGCTAATCCGTCAATGGGCTTGCTTCGCAAGACGAAAAAACCGCTAGACGAAGACTCTCGCGGAACGGATTAATTTCGTCTTGCGAGGCACCACTGTAACTAGTGACAGAGAAGATTTTCCTCTGCCAGAGATCCAGGGGAGCTGCTGCCAGACAGAACAGACAATAAATAGTGGCCGAGGTAGCCAAATAGTCTGACACGGAATAAGGCAGATTCCTGTAAATGAAGTCAGGTGATACTTGCTTCTTCTCAGGGGTTACCGTATTTTTTGCACCATAACACTCACTTTTTTCCTCCTAAAAAGTAAGGGGAAATGTCTGTGCGTCTTATGGAGGGAATGCCTACGGGTGGCATGCCTACGGATTTTCCTCCTCTAAAAACTATGTGCGTGTTATGGTTGGGTGCGTGTTATAGAGCGAAAAATACGGTATTTCCTTAGTTCTGTATAGTTCAAAACACTGTACGCAGAAGTACATTTCCCAACCACTTTCCAGGCAACTGCTGTGTTCTCTCTGTTGAGCAGTGGCACCTTGGAGTTGTGGTTGTGGTGGTTCTTGCTGTGATTTGATAACCTCTCTATTTTTGACAATAAGATGAATTAGAGCAGCTATGTAAGTGCTGTTGACACCCCCCCCCTTACTCTGTTCTGTGTCCTTTGCCTCCTTTTTTCTTCTCTGTGCCCTGCTTCCATCTGCGGACAGGCAGCTCCCATAGTAGTGCACTGTCTTCCATACAGGATTGCTAACATTACTTGGCCTGTCATATTTTTTAATGGTCTTCCTCTGGTTCCCTTTAACAGTACCTAGACATGCAGAAATGTAACACACAATGCTTTTCTTGCCATGAAGCTAAGGGGCTAGGAAAAAGGCTTCACCTGCTAAGCATATGTGTTCAGGTATCATTAAATGTACAGGAGCAAGATTTGTTGTTGTTTTAAAAAGTGGGGAGAAAGTAGCAGTCCTCTGTATGTGGTGTAATTTAAGTGGAAATTCTAATGATTATTTGATTAGTTTTCCTACTGCGGTTCTTGCATTGATGTTTTGAGTTACTGTTGCTTTGAGTATATGCTGTTTAAATATATTTTGTAAACTCTCTTGGCATTTGATAATAAAGGATACTATGTATGAGATTTCCCTTCACTTTCATAGGCGATGAACAGGACATTCTATCTAAATACCACCCCCACCCACCCAAAAAAGCAATTGTCAGTACTATGTTTGACCATAAATTTCATTGGCTTTGAAGTTGGGAAGATGGAAATAGACCTTCAGCTGTCTTCCTACACCTGAGATCCTGTTTGGCAGCAAATTCACAAAAGCACAAAAATGATGTTTGCTTTAGCCACTCTTATTTCCATTTTTGAAGACAGTTTGGTGATTCCTAGTTCTTGCGTGCAGTAATACAATTTTGAAACCTATAGTCAAACAACAGTTAACTTGATGGACATTATATAAAAAGAATTCATAACATTAGTGGGCAGGTTGGTGTTCTTATTACGTCTAAAACATTTCCCATCACTGTGTGCTTTATCCTGAATAAATGTAGACAGATTCCTGGCTTTTTCTAACTCTTGGCAATAAAATGAGCAAGTGAATCCAACTGGAACTGTTGCAAATGTTTAAATTCACGAGGTTTAAATTCTATTTCAGTTGTGTACATTATAGATCTTAACATACGTAACACCCTCCAGCACTGACTATGCGCTTAAAAATAACACAAAAACAGTTTTAGCTTTCTGGTTCTCCCCACTGTGCTTTTAAATCTTTCCTGTGTTGTTGCTGAGAATATTCAATGCCTGTCACCTGTATGACTTTCAGCAATAAAATAATTAAAACAAAGCTTTAAAAAAATAGAAGGGCATTTTGTTTGTTGTCTCTCTCTAAAGCAAATAAGGAAGGAATATTTGTGCTTTCTAACAAATCAGTTACACTACAGCTCCTAGTGGTTTTGAAAGATTGAAATTGCTCAGTGTTTTTGTTTCATGGGATGTGCTGTGCCTGTGGGTTTGTAGCTTTAATCTGGTCATAATGTCCTTCCTGGAGCAGAATGTGCTTTTCAAGTCAGCCCACCCTTTCCAGGGCAGTGTTTGCTACTGCTGTGTAGTAGATCAAAGCAGCTGGAATCAAATATTCTACATGGGAATGCTTGGGCTTATTAAAAGAGTAATTGCTGGTCGTGCTGACATTATCAATAGAGTGCAACCCTGAAGGTAGTGCCTCTGTGAACTTTCTCGGTTTTAAAATTGCTGGCACATAGTGCAAAATGCTGATTTTGGGGCAGAACCCATTTGCATCTGCTACGCAGCATAAACATATTATTATGTCTAATAGAATGATGAAAGTGATGGTGTGATGGATGGTGGGGGCTGCACAATTATGGGATAAATACGTAGAGTGAGACCACCTCATCTCTCAGACAACAATCCCTTCTGAAAGGTGAAAAATAACTTGGATTCATAATGCTTGAAGTTGTCAGCTCTGCTTTTCTCTTTGCTAGCTCCTGTTAGTCTTGGTCTACATATAAAATAAAATGAAGTGATAAATTTTTGGAGGACATAGGTTGAAGTATAAACCTCCCAGTGAGGGGCACAGTTTTCGAATGTTTCCCCACATGAAACACAAACAAAATTCTGTATGAAGGAAACTGGGTATATGGATTCTAGCTCAGTCCTTTTGTTGCGGTACTTGCTTTCTGTTTGCAGGGACACCTTTACTATACTCTGAAATGGTTTATTCAAGGGGTAGCCAATGCGGGGGCCCTTCCAATAGTTATGGACTACAACTCCCATCAGCCTGCAGAGTGGATGATGGGAGTTGTAGTCTAGTAACATGTGGAGATACCAAATTGGCTATCTCTGGTTTAGTGCATTCTGCCATTTCACTGTGTTTCATATGTGGCGCATTCTCAGATGTGAGGACGAGAATGACATTGAAGAGCTTCCTGTTGTATTTCTGAGAATAGATTTTTTTAAAATGTAAAACTTATCAGTTGTGCAGATCGCTGGATATCTATAGCCTCTGGCCATATGGTTAGGTTAAGCCTTATGGTCGGCATGCGTACATATGCATATTCACTGCTTGATTTTTCTGCACTTGAGGCGTGAACCCATTTCAAAACATACTGGTGCTGAAAGACTTCTGTTCTGGAACGTGGAAAACAAGGGTGGCTGGAAACACTGTTTCACCTTTGCTTGAAGGGAAGCTTCAAAATAAACATCTGCAGACACACCTAGTAAGGCTCATGTGGGAACAATTACTGATGGACTTGCATCATCTGACTCTCTGGTTCTATCTCTTTGTTGCCACTCCTTGGTGTATGCAGTCTTCCTGTATTTAACTCTGCGGCTTAGACTTTTTGGTTACTAGACAGATATGGGCTGTGAGGTGAACTGGTAAAAAAATGAAGAGCACTCAGAATATGAGTTTAATGGCAACCCAGTAGGGACTATGGAATCTCTGCGATAACCCTCCAGTCCTTGGATTAAAATGCCTCTGCAAAATTTCCTGCAGGGTGGTGGTTGGTTTTTTTGGGGGGGAGATTTAAATAAACAGCCCTTAAATCATATTTTAAAAGTTTGAAGCTATAATGCTTTTGCTCAACTAAGACTTCAGAAGGTTAAAACTGATTGGAAGTGTACTGAAATAATTTTTGGAAAAGATGCCATACAGACAGAAAATTGTCCATCAGTGTGTATGGAATAAATAATGCTTTTCATATTTCCTAGAGTCCTGAGACTTGTGTCAGCTACACATTGTACGTCATAGGTTTTCCATTTAGCACAAACCGGACCCTGGTTTTATGCTAGATGGAAAATTTAATCTCACAATTTGTTAACCTCCTGTGAGCGGACAAGGAAAGTTAGTTGTATTTTTCCCTGGTGAAAGCAAGAAAAATATGATAATATGATGGTATATTTAATCAGGTGGAGCATATGAATCGAGTTTGTGAAAGGGACAAGTCAATATTGGATTTTAATGTAGTCTTGTTGGTTCTTAATTATGCACTTTGTCCTGTGGATTTGTTTAATGATTATTGATTTTGCTCTAACCTGTATTAATTAGGTATTTCTCTTCCTGTTGGAATATTTTTGTTTCTCTTTTGTATTTGCAAACCATTTTTGAATGGTGCTCTAATATTTTTTTATGAATTGTTTAGTGGAATCTTATCTAACACTTGTATTAGTTATGCATCATATTAAGTATCTGTTGTGCTTTAACTATTGAGTTATTGCAGACTATTTTTTCTGGGCTGGCTTTTTTAATATTGTAACGCAATATCAGCTTCATGTAAAGCATCTGAGCACACATGGAAAGTAGTATACACATAAAATTAACACCGATAAATTGGAAGCTATGCACCAATCAGGCAATGAGTATTCTATTAATGCTACTTCTTGTATCTTAATTTGCACCCACAAAAAAGTATCTAGGGTTTTATTATTAGTATGGCTCCATTATGTCATCAAATTGTTGCAGCCAGTCTGTTCCATTAATAAGAGATGTCGATATCCTTTGCCACATATATTGATTATTTTTGAAGTGGTGGGTTTTCTGTACAGTGAACAAAAGTTTGGGCTTTTAATTCTAACTATTATTTGTTTTCTTCCTTTTCTCTGCAGCTGGAATGTGCACTGTTTTCCCTATACTTTTTTAAGAAGCAAGAGGTTCAGAAGGGCAAAGCTGAAGGATGCCGTCTGAGGTGTGCCTCAGGTATAGTTCATGGAGCTGTCCTGCCAGTTTCCATCGAGTGTGTGTTCATTCACTGTATGCTAGCCTAGAGGATGGCAAATTGCATACATAAATATTACATCAAAATGACTGTGCCGAGACATGTCCAGGAGGATTTACTTTTTGCTCTTGTGTTAGGCTTCTGTGTGGTTTTTTCTCTGCAACTTACCCCCATAGAAATATTTATGCATGGTGTAAAACAGGCTTCCTCAACCTCTGCCCTCCAGATGTTTTTGGCTTACAACTCCCATGATCCCTAGCTAGCAGGACCAGTGGTCAGGGATGATGGGAATTGTAGTCTCCAAACATCTGGAGGGCTGAGGTTGAGGAAGCCTGGTGTAAAAGATTTGCTCCTTCTGTGATTTCTCAGCTCATTTGCATGTTGAGCATCCTAACACAAAAAGGATTTGCCTTCCTGTCAGTGCTGAAGCAGGTAAAGGCAGAAAACTGAGTAGCATTGTGTTGATCCTCATGGGCTCAGCCAGTAGATTGCCATTTAAACTTTGGGGACAGGTTGTTTTTATTGTCATTGATGATGAACAATCAAGGAGAAAGAACAGTGAGATTCTCTCCATGTGTCCCTCCCCAAATTGATTTGATTAAGGCAATTAAATTGGTTGTGATGGTTACTGTGATGGGTTTATGCATCAAACAGCAGGAGGTCATTTTTATAGAGTAATTGCTCTGATAACTATATCTTTACATATTTCATATGTAATTCTATGCATGCTTCTTAAAAACTAAAAGAGAAAGAAATATGAACTCTGAAACACCCCCTGCCCTTTCAAGTTCTTTATCAAATAAAGTCACACCTCTCAAACTATTCAGTTCATAAAATTAGGCTCAGATTCAAACTAACACATTTTCACTTGATACCTTAGCACACTTATCTGTCTGTAGGATATTTATAATAACATTTGTGTGCATGTAGTAGAAAGCAGAAGAGCCATTTTATTTGAATATAATGTTCCAACGTAGGCTTTTCATCTGAATGACAGAGCAGAGAATTTCAAAATAGTATCCTATACAGCACTTGTGCAAAGTTGAATAAATAAGCTAATGTTCCATCCTGAACTTTGAGTTAGGGAGACCTACACATGAACAAAACAAATATTCCCACTAGACAGGCAGAGGCACTATTGTCTAATCAGAAAATAAAACATCCAAATGGCTGTAAAAACAGATATGAGAGTCACCAGTCCCCATTATGTAGCTAAACAATTATAGCGGGGAGGGGGGGGGGGAGTCTGAAAAGCTTAGTATGTCCTTTTCACAAAATTGTTACATGTATGTGGACTTATTGGGACACCAACACATGAGGTGTGCAAGGATTTAGTTTCTTTTCCTCCATTCACTTTATAGTTCCAATCATTTCCAACCACTCATATCAAGATTCTCAAATAAAAGGGCCACTTGGAAGGGTTGAAATATTTGACTCCTTACCATAAAAAAATTAATGTTCATGCATGATTTGGGAAAAAGGTTTTACATAGTTTGGTAATCCTAAATCAGATATAACCTCCCAACACACAAAACTGTTAAAGTGTCCATACGCTAGAATATCTTTCTAAATATATTACTGACTTCTTTTGATATAACTGACAATTTGTGGCAGCACTTTAAAAAAGGAAGAAGAAGAAAGATGGAAAGTGCTTGGTGTGGATTAAACTACTGCTAACTTCTTACCTATGTCTTCAAAACCTTCTGTGGCCTTGGCCCTCCTTGTCTTTCTGCTCTTATATCCCCTGACAGGTCCCTTCCTTTGACCTTTGCTATTCAAGCGCCACCACCCTCAGCAAGATTCCCTGCTGTCTGAAGTGGCTCCACCCATTTCTCTTTGTTGACCCTTTTGCCTGGAACTGCCTCCAAGAACGCCTCTATGTGATCTACTCCCCTATTTCCTTGTAGTTTCTACTCAAAACTCACCATTCCCAAGAAGCATTTGGATTCCCTCCCTATCTGTAAATGAAGTCATTCATTCCTTCATTTTATTTGTATGCTGCTTGCAGTTCGAAAGCATGTCAAAGTGCAAGTAGATAAATAGGTACCGCTCCGGCGGGAAGGTAAACGGCGTTTCCGTGCACTGCTCTGGTTTGCCAGAAGTGGCTTAGTCATGCTGGCCACATGACCCGGAAGCTGTGCACCGGCTCCCTCGGCCAGTAAAGCGAGATGAGCGCCGCAACCCCAAAGTCGGTCACGACTGGACCTAATGGTCAGGGGTCCCTTTACCTTTACTTCCTACAGAAAAATCATGCTCAGAGCGGTTTGCGACAAAGAAACAGGGATGAATTTCAAACAAACACTACCAAATTTCATAACAGCATAGCAGAACAATAACAGAGTAACAATTCCATAGTAACATAGGAAAGCAATAACGTAGTAACAAGTTCATAATAACAAGGCAAAAACAGTAAAATAGAAACAATTTTGTAATAATATTGCAAAGCAGTAACAATTTCATAAACATAGCACCACAAAAATAAAACAACATACAAAAAGCTACATTTCAGTACAGTGGAATTTTGGTTCTTGAACTTAATCCATTCCGGGAGTCTGCTCAACTCCCAAAAGTGTTTGAAAACCAAGATGCAGCTTCTGATTGACTGCAGGAGCTTCCTGCACTCAAGCGGAAGCTGCGTTGGATGTTTGGCTTCCAAAAAACGTTAAAAACCGGAACACTTACTTCCGGGTTTTAGGCATTCGGGAGCCAAAACATATGAGTACCAAGGTGTTTGAGAACCAAGGTACGATTGTACTATAAATAGAACACTATGTGTTAAACAACGTGCAGCAACCAGTAGCAAAAATAACAAGGGAGCAACACAGTTTCTCCTTAGTTGCTCACAGTCCCACTCCTGCAGCAGCTTCTTATAAGGCAGGCATGGCCAAACTTGGCCCTCCAGCTGTTTTGGGACTACAATTCCCATCATCCCTGACCACTGGTCCTGTTAGCTAGGGATGATGGGAGTTGTAGTCCCAAAACAGCTGGAGGGCCAAGTTTGGCCATGCCTGCCTTATAAGGCTTCGAAGGGCAAAGGGTGGGGTAGTTGGAAACATGCCTCCCATGATGTTCCTAATCACCTATTCCCCTCCCATTGCTCCCAATCGCACCTTCCCATTTTCCTTAGCCTCTGTTGCTTACCTGTCCCTGCCACACCTGCTCCTTATATATGATGCTACATGAACTATGATGTGAACTTGCGCCTCAGTTCTTTAAGAATTTGGACATCTCGTATTATTTGTGTTTATTTACAAATAGACAGGTTGCACATAGGTACAAAAAAAGGGGCAGCCAAAATGGTGTAGCCACACTTAGAATACTGTGCACAGTCCTGGTCATCTCACCTCAAAAAGTATGTTGTAGAGCTGGGAAAGGTTCAGAAAAGAACAACTGAAATAATCAGAGAGATACAGCAACAATCCTATGAGAAAAGGTTACAACATTTGGCACTTTCACTTTAGAACATAGGCAAGTAAGTGATGATATGATAGAGGTGTATAAAATTATGCATGGTGAAGAGCAAGTGCATAGAGTGAAGTTTTTCCTGCCTCTTTCATAACACTAGTCATCCATTGTACCTAAATATTTGAAGACTTGGGCCAGACATCTTGATTCAGCACACAGTGAAAACGATGGAATTTGCTATCGTAAGAGGCAGCGACGGCCACCAACTTGGATGGCTTTAAAAGAAGATACAACAAATTCATGGAGGGTAACTGTGTCAGTGGCTGCTAGTCACTATTCTATGTTCTACCTCTACTGTCAGAGGCAACATGCTCTAAATATGTCTTCCCAATTGTTGGGAAGCACGTGTTGAAAGGCTGCTGTTGCACTCATGCCCTGCTTGCAGAACTTCTCGTAGGGATCTGGTTGGACACTGGGAAAAACAGGATGCTGGATGAGTTGGGCCTTTGGTCTGAACCAGCAGAGGACTGCTGAAGATATGAGCCTTCCAAAAGTCTCTGGCCATTTAATTATTTCTGCAAAAGGCAGTCATTCAGTGCCAATCCTCATTTAAGAAAGTGAATCTGTCACGCTAAATTTGCCTAACTGGCTTCTTACACTGTTGGCCCCAGCAATTGTGGATCTTCTACAGTTAAAGTCATTAAGCTGAGAGGGCTGGGAGGGATCCTAGTAAATTGGATTAATCCTCAATTTACAACAATAATATGCCTATTTTTATAGCTAGGACAGTTGAAGCTGTGAGATAACGGCCACATTGTGAATGTCTTGAAGAGTGATGCTGTTGTACATAAAGATTTAAGTCCATCTTTATATTGTGGGCCATAAATGATAGCCCTGCCACACTGTGATGCTATAGACCTTTGGTTACAGCACGAGAGTGGGGAAATAATAATAAACCCATTTCCAACCTGTGTCAGTAGTACCAAATCATCCTACTTATAATCCTGCTCTCACTTCAGAGTTTGATTCAATTCAGTGGCACTTTTTTTTTTTGTCTTGAGTAAATATGCAGGATTGTATGCTTGACTGACGTAATTAGAAATGAAAAAGTAGAAAACATATGCATGCCTTTCACTCTTGGTATTTTCATGCTTGCGAGTGTGATTATTTCTTCGTCTTTTGCAGTTTTCAAGATATGCTGACTGGCCAGAGGCTTTGCCAGTCTAGTTCTCATAATGATGCTGTCTTGGCTGCTCTGAACCAGCAAAGAAGTGATGGGATCCTCTGTGATATAACTCTTATAGCGGAAGAGCAGAAATTCCATGCCCACAAGGCAGTCCTAGCAGCTTGCAGTGACTACTTCAGAGTAAGTTAATATAGTAGTATGTTTATGTCCATCAGCTCTGTTTTTAGAACACCATAGATATTTGGATAATTAGTAGTATTGAAATCTTTCCAATTTTTTTTTGCCCGTGTAAACAGTGATCATGATCTGACCAGATACTTCACAGGACAAGTTTTGGTTTTTTTTAGGTTCAGTGGGACTTAAAACTAGATATGTGAATATAGGATTGTGAAACATAACTGGGGAATTTATTTGACATATATGTAGTATTTAAAGGTAGGCATTTACATGTTTGTAGGTATGTGCTCCTGTACAGTGGTACCTCTGGTTGTGGACGGGATCCGTTCCGGAGCTCCAGTCAGATTCTGAGGTTTCCGCAACCGGAGGTGCCTGTTCTGCGCATGTGCGTGGCGCGATAGAGTGCTACTGTGTATGCGCACGCGGTGAAACCCAGAAATATACTTCTGGGTTTGCTGCATGCATATCCCGAAGAATACATAACAAGAGGGACACGTAAGTAGAGGTACCACTGTATTTACTAAATAGAGTGTGTACACAGTTGTTGGCAGTGGGTGTGAGCCTAGAGCACCCTGTTCCACACTTAACACAGTCTATTTTATTTTAACTACTTTGTATCTTTTTGAGATCACATTTTGAGTTAACTTACAGTATATGCTTTGTGAAGTTCTGGTTCAATAGTAGTTTTCCAATTTAAAGCATTAAGTTTTGTTTTGTTTTTTAACTTCCCTTAAGGCCTGAAAAGGCAAGTGATCTGGAAGACTGGAAGAAGACATGCCGTTGTCTTCCCTAGTTTTATTTAGGACACTTATTCCCTTCAGTAAAATTTGTAAGTTGAACACATAAAAAGCATAGTTTTGGACTCATTAGGAAACACACACACACACCAAAATGTAAAGTGGGACGCCATGTTTGTTAGAACTAACCAAAATGTCACAAGCAAATTTCAAGTGCTGCAGAGCTAGTCATCAGGCTGGATGAACTGGGCTATGTGAAATGCTGACGTGATGTTAAAGCAGATATGGGGAACCTTTGGCCCTCCAGATGTTGCTGAACTACAGTTCCCATTGTCCCAGACCATTGGCCATGCTTGCTGAGGCTGGTGGGGGTTGTAGTTCAGTCCCATCTGGAGAGACAAAGATTTCCCCCAAAAAGCAACAGACTTCCCAGTTATAACAGTGTTAGGAAAGGAACACAAGATGTAATAATACCGCTTTATTCTGCTTTGGTCAGACCACACCTGTGTTCAGTTTTGGGTGCCACAATTTAAGAAGAATGTGTTCAGAGGAGGTCAACCAAGACAAGCAAGCGTCTGGAAACCAAGGAACGGTTGAGGAAGTTGGGTATGTTTAGCCTGGATAAGAGGAAACTGAGAGGATATATGATAGCCATCTTCAAATATCTAAAGGGCTGTCACCTGGAAGATGGAACAAGCTTGTTTTTTCCTGCTCTGGAGGGTAGGACCTGAACCAATGGCTTCAAGTCACAAGGGATTCTGACTAAACATCAGGAAGAACTTTATGATGGTAAGAGCTGAAGCAGACCTCCTCAGATGGTGGTGGACTCTCCTTCCTTGGAGGTTTTTAAGCAGAGGTTGGCTGGCCATCTGCCATGGATGCTTTAGTTGAGATTGCTGCATTGTGGGGGGTTGAACTAGATGACCCCCTCAGGGTTCCTTCCAACTCCACAATTATATGATTCTAGGATTCATTCTGTAGACTTAATTTAATTGGCCACAGCTAGATGGTTGACAGATTTCAGGTTGTGCTGTTAGCTGCTTGGACAAATAAACAAATTGTGGGTGATTCCTGGCTTATAAAAAGCAAACGTAATGGATCTTTCTCCAGCACTAAACAGATCACACACATGATAGTCCTCTATTAGCAAAGCTGAGATTAATTGTAGGTGGTACACTAGGTAAAAGCAGCTTGAAGGTTTTATTCGAAAATATAACCTTATTTTTTTTTTTTTTTTGGAAAGGTGGTACTGTGGTTAGAGGCTGTTGACAAGATTACAGTTTTTTTTTACTATAATATTGGAGACAAGGTAGATTTGCACTCCTCCAGAAGTAGTAATGCTTCCAGATCACAAATATTCTCCTGGGATTGCCAGGTAGCTGTGGTGGGCAGGAATGTGTTCCGCTGACTTCACTTTAGATGCCAATCCTTTCCTGGAGAAACTAGACTTGGTCTCAATCATTCAGGCACTTTGTCACCTCAGACTAGACCAATGTAATGTGGTCTGCTTGGGGCTGTTCTTGAAGAAAAATTGGTTTCATATGGTTCAAAATATAGGTGGAATGTGTCTGGTTACAACTTTTTGAAAACCTTTTTCACTGTGTTTCTGAGCTCAATTCAAGGTGCTGTTTTTGTGCTTTTAAAGCACTAAGTAGTCAGGGATCAGAATATTTACAGAACCTCACTCCTTCCTTCATATGAGGCTGCCCAGGAACTCGCCTCCACCCACAAGACCCTTCTTCAGATCTTACTGTGATCAGTATGTGGGTACTTGTCATGCGGCCTTTTCAGCAATGATGTTCCTAAGATTGGTACACCTGTTTCTACCACTCCTTGTTCTTAGGTGGGTGGTGAAGATTTTTATTTAAGTGGATGCTCTCAGAAACTGCTGCTGTTGTTTTAGTTTGTTGTTCTAGTCTGGTTAGTGTAGTGCTGCTTTTAAAGATGTGGTTGTTGTTGATTTAACAGCGGAATACTTTTACAGAAAGGCAGAATAAAATAATAATAGTAGCTGGAGGAGACTCTTGAGAGTCCCATGGACTGCAAGAAGATCAAACCTATCCATTCTTAAGGAAATAAGACAAGTCCTCACTGGAAGGACTGATCCTGAACCTGAGGCTCCAGTACTTTGGCCACCTCATGAGAAGAGAAGACTCCCTGGAAAAGACCCTGATGTTGGGAAAGATTGAGGGCACAAGGAGAAGGGGACAACAGGGGACGAGATGGTTGGACAGTGTTCTCGAAGCTACTAACATGAGTTTGACCAAACTGCGGGAGGCAGTGGAAGACAGGAGTGCCTGGCGTGCTCTGGTCCATGGGGTCATGAAGAGTTGGACACAACTAAATGACTAAACAACAACAACAATGTACTGGAAAATATATGGAATCTTGGGTTGAGGCAGTGAGCTGTGATCTTGGCAAGAATTCGGAGCACTCAAATGACTAGTCATGGGGCTGGCAGGCAGAATCGCCATATGTTGCCTTCATCATGCCAGTTGGCATTTTAAATGTTTGCCTGAACTCTGCTTATGCCTCCGTGCTGATCTTTCACTTACAAGAAGTGGTGTGGGAGTAGTTCCACTGTGGCTTCTTCACAATCTGTTCGATAACTGTGTGCATAAGCAAACTTTGTGGGTGAGGATGAAGGCATCCTGTTGCAAATATTGCCTGGCAAGTACAAAGGAGAATCTTAGTATATAGGAAGGAACCCTGTCGGTGACCTGCCTCCATGGTTTGTTCACACACACTGCACAGATAAAAAAGCATGAGGAATTGCTTATCAATGAGTGTGTACCTTGAGCTTTACTGTTCAGGGTTGTGGCGAGAATGAATAGAACATGACTTTTGCCCAACCTCTTTCTCACTTCTTCTCAAAGGGGTCAAGGTTTTGAGTGCATGGAGGTCATCTTGTGTTATTGAAAACCTAAAAAATTAAGCAAATAAATAAAAACTCACATCACCCTCAGCAGGAAGGGCAGTAAAACTTACCTTTCCCCAAACATAAGAATTTTTAGGTTTTAAATTTTAGAAAATTATATCCTGCTTTTAAATAACTTCCTGGTCCTTTCTATATGTTTTGGACTACAACTTCCATCAGCCCCAACCAGCAGTTGGGAGCTATTATCCAGTACCTAGAGACACACAGATTCCTTATCTCTGTCTCGAAGCTCAATAAATTCAACTGGGATGGGGAATGAGAAAATCCAGTGGATAAAATGCTTAATGAAAAGTTGTTCTGTCTGATGTTTAAAGTACTGATTTCTTAATTTGGGGATCAAAAAGAGAGAGGTCATCTTATACATATGGGGGCATCTTATACATGGAAAAATACAGTAATATTAAAAAAATGCACACTCTTCCTCCCGCCCCTGGCAAAAGTGGTCTGTTTTGTCTACAGAATATACTAGTGTTGAAAAGTTCACTGATCTTCAAGTTAGAAAACAGATTTAATCAGGGACATTTCTGTGTGTTCATATAATTCAGAAAACTGTTAGGCTGTAATTAATGATGGTATATCATCAGTAAACAAAAAGAGGTCACTGAATAGATATCACTGGAGGTTATGAAGTCATTAAATTGTGTTTGCAGATAATGGTTTTTATCGCATTTCTTTGTTTAAAAAAGTGGATGTATCATAAATAGTTGACTTTCTGATATATTAAAAGCACAGCCCGTATCTTCTATTTTATGCTGCAAATAGAAAATAATCACAGTGTTTCCATTCAGGCTTAAATGGCATGGAATTTAATTAGTAACTACCATTTGCAGTACAGTTGTAAATTGGTTACATAGTGTAGTAATTGTTAAGACTTTTAAATGCTTCTGTCACTAATTCATGTTGCCAGGAGTGCCCATTTAGGGTGGCTGAATAAAAAAGTGAGGGCTGGGCTCCTGCACCTTTTTATAGCTGAACAGAAGAGGGGGTTTCAGTAGATGCAGCTTGCATTTCACCTACATCTGCTGAAATGTTCTCTTCTGCAGAACTATGAAAAGGTGCAGGGCCCTCCCTACTCCCACTTGCCCTCCCTACTCCCATGTGATTCTCTGTGGGAGTGCAGGGAGCTGCTAGAAGGTTTGCAATCCAGCAGGGATCTTAAGGATCTCACATGGGGACTGTATGTGTAGCAGCTGTGGGTTGTATGCCCACAATGGCCCTTTTACAAGTCTTACTCTATTTAACCGAAGGATGGGAATAAAAATGCTCGCTGCAGTATTGTTTTGTTATCCTCTTACTGATGGTTGGGGTAGGGTGTTGAGAGATGGAGGGAGACTTGCCCAAGACCACAGAGTGATTTGGAGGGTGTTGGGGGGGGGCAGGATATTGCTTTTCAGTTGGAAGGGTCCAAACACAGTAGTTTTCTGAAAGATCACAGGCTTGTCACGTATATCTGGTTATGAAATGAAACCAGTATAAATTACTTTTGGAATAAATTGCATACTGATTAATGACTGCAGTATTACTAGCTATCTTAATTAGGGAACAGCAAAGCAGCAACAAAAGTCCCTTATGTTTAATAGGAAATCCAAGTTTGATCAATGTTTTTTTTCTTAGGCGATGTTCAGCCTTTGTATGGTTGAAAGTGGCGCAGATGAGGTGAATTTACATGGCATCACAAGCATAGGTTTAAAGCAAGCTCTGGACTTCGCGTACACTGGACAGGTATAGTACTAAAATCCTTAACAGGCATATAAAACAGACAGGGTCACCTTAGAATAGACGGCACTGGGATGTTACCATGGCAACTGGCTTGGCTGGCCTTGCACCTGTTGGCTTATCTCATGCATGGGGTGATTTATGCTCATGAAGGAGATTAAACCCTTCCTCCATGTCCAGTTTCTCCAACAGGTTTGCATTTCAGTACCAGATCAGCATCACACTTTCAGGGAGGATGTAAAAACACATTGGCCAGGATCAAAAGAACTGCACAGCTTTCTACTTCTGTCTACAGGGGACTCTAAAAGAGCATTCCTTTATGCCACATTGCAAAGCACTTTAGAAACTGATGTGATTTTTAGATGCAGCTGAGATAGCAGTATCTGGATGATGGGGAGACCAGTAAAAATAAGAACAAAGACAACCGAATAATCTCCCCTTCCACATCACATTTAAAAGGACATTGGCTGTTGATCTTAATACTCAGGGGGGTCTGTAGGGAAATACAGTCTTTCAGATATTTGGGAATTAAGGGCTAAGTGAAATAGGCTGGCCTTTGAAAAATTCAGTTATAATCATACTCACCTTGAACACATTTTAACATACCGTATTTTTCGTTGCATAGGACGCTCCGTCCCATAGGACGCACCTACTTTTTTTGGGGGGGGGGAATAAAGGAAATTTTTTTTCCCTTTATTCCCCCCCCCATACCAGGACGGGGAACAGTGGGATGGTGGCGCTGCGCCTCTTCGTTGTCCCCCGAGCTTGTGGGGCTGGCCGATGTCTGCCCGGCGTGAGGGGCGCTCTGCTTCAGGGCGCCCCACGCGCCGGGCAGCAGGCTGCAGACACGTGCGCGAAGCACGGGGCGTCCTCCGGAGGGAGCCCCATGTTCCGCGCTGCCGGCTGCCGCCCGCAAGCCGTGCGTGCTCGGGGGGAGTTCCCCCGGGTGCGCAAGGCTTGCAGACACCTGCGCGAAGCATGGGGCGTCCTCCAGAGGGCGCCCCGTGCTCCGCGCTGCAGGCTGCCGCCCACAAGCCTTGCGCTCCCGGGGGGGATCTCCCGGGTGCGCAAGGCTTGCCGACACCTGCGCGAAGCACGGGGCGTCCTCCGGAGGGCGCCCCGTGCTCCGCGCTGCAGGCTGCCGCCCGCAAGCCTTGCGTGCCCGGGGGAACTCCCCCCGGGTGCGCAAGGCTTGCAGATAGCTTCCTGGAGCCTGGAGAGCAAGAGGTGCCGGTGCACACCGACGCCTCTCGCTCTCCAGGCTTCAGCGAAAGCCTGCATTCGCCCCATAGGACGCACACACATTTCCCCTTCATTTTTGGAGGGGGAAAAGTGCGTCCTATAGGGCGAAAAATACTGAAATGTGCAGTCCCATGTAATCAACTGGAGTTGTGCCTTTTAAAAGACACTGTTTGTTAGGGATATGTATTGTATTATTTTAACCATGTGTGCCAAGAGCCCAGGAGGTTTTTTTTACATTTGCTGGAATGCCTTTCCTGAGAGACAGCTCTTTCAAATGTTAGTAGCTGCTGTCAGAGCAGTGAGAAGCCTGTGTGCCCATGAGGTGACTCAAAACCATTGAAGTGTTAATGGTGAAGATTTCAAAGTATTGCGTGGGTGTGAGGCAGAAATGCTGTTAGCAAATAATTGGATTTGTGCATGTGCCTCCTACACACTGCTCTGAAAAGTCTTAGTCACAATAGGTTTTGGTCCATCAGTACAGTATTACCAAGGGAATAGGATATTTTCTTTCTGAAACAGAATTTCCAGTGCCTACCACTCCCACCAGTAAATAGAAAGCTCTTTTCACAACAGCCCTCACTGAGATGAAAAAATTATAACTCAAAGCAAACCTGAGCCGTGTACGGTCCAATATCCTACTCTTCTGTCTCAACCAGGGGAAGGGAAAAGGAGATGCCTCATTTATTATCCTTGTTCTTTTCCAACATATGTTTTGTTCTTGTTTTGATGATGATGAAGCCATTCTGTAGCCCCATCTTCATTAACTTTACCTGGAGGTAAACCATTCCAAATTTAACAGGACATGCAGAGGAGTGAGTTTATGCATATTGATTGAAATACCAAACATGCTGAGGAAACCACCTGAAAATGCTGTCATCTTGTAACTTGCGAATGGACAGTGGTCTGGCCAGCTGGCTTTTTGAGAGTTAGGGCTCGTCCAGACTTCCATTTGTGTCACATTTCTAGGCACAGGTTAGGGCTTTAAAGATCTGTGTAACCAGAGCTTAATAAATACTCAACTGGGGTGCACTTTAGTCTAGGGCTAGCCCTACGTACGTGAACTTTATAGGTACTTAGAATCATCAAGTTGGAAGGGACGCTGAGGATCATCTAGTTCATCCCTCTGCAATGCAGGACTATGCAGCTGTCCCTTTTGGGAATCAAACCTGCAACTTCGGAATCATCAGTACCGTGCTCTAACCAACTGAGCTATATATTGCGGGTCCTCTGCAGAGAGCTAAATAAAGACAGTCTCAGCATTGGGAAACACATTCAAATCCATACTCAGCTATAAAGTTCACTGGATGACCTTTGGCCAGTCACTTTCTTTCAGCCTAACTTATCTGACAGGTTTCTTACCAGGATGAAATAGTGATGACATGGGAGGTATGTAGGAAGAATGAGAGAGAGAAGACTACAATCCTGTACAACAGATGTGGGGAACTTTTGGCCTTCCAGTGTTGCTGAACTACAACTCCCATCAGCCACAGCAAGCATGGCCCAGTGGCCAGGGATGATGGGAGTTGCAGTTCAGCAACATTTGGAGTGCCAAAGGATAGCAAGTCCCAAAAAACTCTACAGGACATACTGCTGAGTAGACGGCTATAGGATAATGTAAATGACCCCTGTTAATGCCCCACAGAGTGCAGTGCTTGGTATGCTAGAGGAGACTTGCTCATTTGTTGTGAGTCACCCCTCTGGTTCATCATCTTACAAGGAGTTAGTAAACCATGTTGGATTGTGTTGTATGTGAAACAATTTATCAGATAGATAATACTTTGATTGCATAGGTAATACATTCAGTCTCCTTAAAATATGTGTTCTGTTATTTCTCAGTTTCATTTATTTCTTTAAACAGCAGGAAAGTGGAACGTTCCTTTTCTGTATAAAGTGGGTTTCTTGAGACCTCTAGTGAAAACAGCTGGTGTTGCAGGATTGGATATTAAAATGGGAAAAGGAAATACTTCATTATTCCTGTTCAACAGAAGCAGTGTTCATTAGAAATGATTGTTAGAAACACTTGTAAGGTTATGGGAAACTCTCAATGCAAAAATAGTCATCTCCCTATGAATTATATAATAATTTTTAGCAATTATATTTAGGATACCGTCTAGAGCTATTAGATCATGTTTTAAAGTGTATACAGTGGTACCTCGAGTTACAAACGCCTCAGGTCACAAACACTTCAGGTTACAAACTCTGCTAACCTGGAAGAGTTACCTCGAGTTGAGAACTTTGCCCCAGGATGAGAACGGAAATCGTGTGCTGTCAATGCAGCGGCAGCAAGAAGCCCCATTAGCGAAAGCGCGCTTCTAGTTAAGAACAGTTTCAGGTTAAGAACGGACCTCCGGAACGAATTAAGTTCATAAGTAGAGGTACCACTGTATTAAGTTATGATGTCAGGTTATGTTTTGAACCTGTCTTTAACTTTTTAGCAGTCACTGCATAAGATTTAATGCAGTCCTTTTATATTTAGCTGGTTGTTTTCTTAACTTGATCTAAGTTTGTTTATCTAGTACTTTTCATGAGGTACTGTTGATGGCTGCTGCATTTGACCAAAGATCAGCCTTAAAAGATCAGGCTTGCAGTTCGGGAGTGATTGAGCCAACCTTGATACTGAAAGCCCCTGCTGAATGTCATGCCTTTTGCCAGCTAAACCTAGTGCACCAGCTACAACAGAAGTAGCCAACATGGTTCCTTCCGGGGGGTTTTGGTCTCCCACTTCTATCAGCACCAGCTGGTATGGCCAATGGCCAGGGCTGATGAGAGTCCAGTAACATCTGAAAAGGCACCATGTTGACTACCCCTGAGCTACAACTTCTCCAGGACAGAGATAGCTTATCAGAATGATCCATAGGCTGTTAATTCCAGGTAGGTTACCACAGTGCAGGGATTCCTTTGACATCTCATAAACTTCTTTTAGTTCAGAACACAGCTGTCTGGTTCCTCCCTGGCACTTTGTGAGCTGATTGCCGAATAGAGAGACAGACACAGAAGCTGGGTTGAACTAGGGGCACTTCAGTTAAGAGTAAAACCCATAAAAAACCCTGTTGAGGGAAAACATTATTGCAGGAGCAAACCTGAACCTGAACAACAGCAGTCACTGGGGAGACCAAAACTCCTGCCTGCAGGAAGGGGAGGCAAGGTTGTCAAGCCTGCCTCACATTCCCAGGTCACCCCATGATGGTGAGTAGGAATGCCTATGCTGCTCCATCGCCACCCACTCAAGGCCCCATAGCTTTGGTCAGATGAAGCAGTTTAACCTCAATGCCCCTATCCTACCACAGAGATGCAGAGCCCAGAGTGTAAGCCTCGGGGGCAGCCCATCACCCAGAAAGGCACCCAAAGGCTAAAATGCAACTACTTTCCTTCCTGAACTGCCAAAATCAACCAAACTGAAGATCAGATTAGCCGAATTAACAGTACAGCAGACAATCTGATACCTAGCACCCAGCTATTCAGTATGGAATAGGCAAAACAAAAACAAAACCCCACAAACAGGTGGATCAGCTATAAATTCACATGGAGAGACAGGGAGGGAGTGTGGGTGGTGGGTGCTGCTGCCAGGAAAAGAAGAGGGAGAGAGGTGGCAGTACAGCACTTAAATGACAGTCTGTCTCTACCCCACTCTCAAGCATGTGACTGACACAAGAGAGTCAGACAGGCTGTCTCCTTCAGCCTGAATAGGCCACAGATTTGCCCCGCTAGCTGGTACCAAGGCAGAATGGGCAGCGGAATACAACAGCTTCACTTGTTAGTTTACTTCTAAGCACAAGAGCTGGTTTTATATGGCTTGGGATCTAGAGGCCTGAATAACCCTTTCCCAAATGTACCTGTCCATGCACTGAGAATCAGTGCCCTACCCTCTTAAGTTACAGTAGGTCATTTGTGGTCAGTGTTAAAATTTCATTAACTGTGGCATTTCTCCCCAGAAAGGCTCACCTGGTACCTATGCTGATATTACAGTGTCAGGTGAAGAAGGTTTTATTTTCCCAGCTTTACTTACTAAATCCAAAGGTCTGATTCCCACATTGTTCCATGCAGCAGCAAGGAGAACACAAGTAGATTACTCATGGGTGCAAAATACACAATATAGCTACAAGTATGCAGTCTGAACTTGGATGAAGTTCAGATACATCTGTCCTGGTGGATTACATGGCTGGAAGAGACGAGTGAGGAACAGGAAAGGAAGCAGCTTCATTTCCACATGGAAAAGAGGGGGAATACCTAGCTGAATCTAGGAATAGAGCTCTATGGTCGTAACCCCTTCATGCACTAACAAGCACTCATGCACAGTTACGTTTGACTGTAATTTCCCACAACAATTACTTGGAATGTGTTACGTTCACATCCCCCCTCTGTTTGTTTGTTTTGTTTATGGTCCTTGCTAGCTCAATTGCAGATCTCAAAACTGCTAATGTGCAAAGCTTCATGTAGATGACAAAAACATGGGGGATATCTCTGTGGTAGTGTAAAGTAGCTACATTTGTGCAAAGTTAGAAACAAAAATAAGTTATCTGTTGAACATTCTAGTGAATATGCACACAAGCTGGACATATTGACAATATTTGACTTCTTTTGGTAACGGTGTGATCAGTGTTGATATGTTTGTGTTGTTGTTTAGTTGTTTAGTCGTGTCTGACTCTTCCTGACCCCATGGACCAGAGCACGCCAGGCACTCCTGTCTTCCACTGCCTCCCACAGTTTGGTCAAATTCATGCTGGTAGCTTTGAGAACACTGTCCAACCATCTCGTCCTCTGTCATCCCCTTCTCCTTGTGCCCTCAATCTTTCCCAACATCAGGGTCTTTTCCAGGGAGTCTTCTCTTCTCATGAGGCGGCCAAAGTATTGGAGCCTCAGCTTCAGGATCTGTCCTTCCAGTGAGCACTCAGGGCTGATTTCCTTAAGAATGGATAGGTTTGATCATCTTGCAGTCCACGGGACTCTCAAGAGTCTCCTCCAGCACCATAATTCAAAAGCACCAATTCTTCGGCGATCAGCCTTCTTTATGGTCCAGCTCTCACTTCCATACATCACTACTGGGAAAACCTTTCGCTTCCAGGCATATTTGCAACTGAGTGACCTTTCAGCTTTTGCCCAGCCACTTCATCAGCTCTGAATCTACTTGTACTCGTCCTCCGCTCTTCCTCAGTAGCATGTTGGACACCTTCCGACCTGAGGGGCTCATCTTCCAGTGTCATAACTTTTATATGCCTGTTGTCTTTGTCCATGGAGTTTTCTTGGCAGGGATACTGGAGTGGCTTGCCGGTTCCTGCTCTAGGTGGATCACGTTTGGTCAAAACTCTCCACTATGACCTGTCCATCTTGGGTGGCCCTGCACGGCATAGCTCATAGCTTCTCTGAGTTATTCAAGCCCCTTCGCCACGGCAAGGCAGTGCTCCATGAAGGGGGATATGTTTGTAGTAGTATGCAAATCTGGCAGTTTCTCTGCAAGGCAAATTAGCCCGATGACTCCCCTCACCATGAGCTGCTGAGAAAACACGGGCTAAAGCAATAAGTGGGCACCATTCAGCATATTGGTTGTATGAATCTGCTGTAAGGAAAATGTTGTTAATAGGTGTAATTTAATAATATTTGCTGGCTACAGAAATAAGTAGCAGTGCTTCTCTCTCCTTCCTGTCTGTTGTGAGGAGAAAGAACAGTGCCTGCTTTTTAACTGTAGTTAAACCTTTTGTTTGAAAGGGTTTTCAAACAAAATGCGAAACTTTATGCACCTGGAGTGTTGTAAGAATTGACAGCTTCAAATATCACATTGAATATTTTTCAGAGCACTTTCAAGGACAAGTTCCTTACAAGTTCTCTTTCTCTTTATTCCCCAATATAGGTACTCTTGGAACCAGGTGTGATTCAAGATGTGCTTGCTGCAGGGAGCCATCTGCAGCTGCTGGAAATGCTTAGTTTATGTTCTCACTATCTTATCCAGGTAAGGCTAAGGGGCTTGATTCTCCCCTTTATTTGGTTGCACTTAGCTTAATTCTTAAGTCTGTGTTACATCTGTGAGGTCGGGATAAGCACCTTCAGCTGTATGACAGGAAGCGATAACTACACAATACCTTGATTAAGACTTTGAACTGGACTTCTGTTTAGCCTTTGATCTGTACAGGATGGATTTCTTTTGGGAATGGGGAGGCAGAAATCAGGTATATGCCCCTGTGTTCTCCAGAGAAGACAACTGTAATGTGTGGCACATGTGGCTGCCTTTGAAGATTGTTCAAACACTTCCATTAGTGCAGGATATTGCTGTTTAGATTACTAACTGGAACTGGACATAATTATTATTATTTTGTCAGTTTACTCATATAAATTTCTCAAAGTGACTTACAAACACAATCAAAACACTCAAACAATTACAATAAACACAAGTACATCTATGCACATTATGAGAATGATTCACCTGTGCTATGCCAAATGCTCTGGTTTCCAGTCTGTTTTGAGGTCCAGTTCATAGTGCTATGTTTAGACCTTCATGGCTTAGGTGGTGCTTTAAGTTCCCTGCTCCTATCTCCATCTGTGCACCTTCCTCTCCATTCTTTAGGCTAAAGAGGGTCAATATTGCCTATGTACTTTCTGTACAAGTAAACAGCTATATTGCAGGGTTCCTGCGGAGCATTGTTTCAACAACAGGGATCTACCCAAACCTTTTCAGATAAAGACATTTTGGTGCGTAGAATGCAAAGTCATTTTAAAACAGCATTTTTGGGACCTGGAAACTGTTCCTTTTCTGCAAAACATAAAATAAATAAAGAATCACTGAATTGTAATAGTTCTTTTCTCAGTGCTTTTGTCACAAAAGTGAATGCTTTGCGAAAGGTGGTTCACAGAGCATCTGGAGCACTCGCTGGTGGGTGTCTGCAACTTCACAAATGATTAGCTACCCCCTCTGCAATATAATGGTCCCCCCTCTTTCAAAATAGAAGTTACTTACAGGGCTGCCAAAAATGAGCAAATGGCTGTCTCAGCCCATCATTTCTATGGCTTTAGGGTGCTCTTTTCCCTCTATTTTTTTTGCCTGCAGATTACTGGGTTGAAGGCAAGAGAAGCAGAACCAATGGCACTCATCTTGTCTGATCTATTGCTGCAGTTTGAAGTGGCGAGATAACTGTTTCCCCTTGTGGCGATTCCCCCCCCCCCCTATATTTGCCATAGGGTTTGTATAGGGTACAGCGAATCTAGAATAACATTAACCAGCCCTAACGCTTTTTATTGTTGTTGTTGCATTACTCTTGTGAACATCTTGCCTGATGAAAACTATTGAAAAGCTTGGAAGCTTGCCACTATTTTGTGCTTGGTTTCAAGAAAAACACTGTCCATTTGGGATCTTTTAAACCTTCATCAAGTCACCCCAGTTTTCTCATTCTAAATGTTGATGCTTCTGTATTGCATTTTATGTATAGAGATAAGATTCAGATGCCTTTCCATTATGTGTCTGCTAGTTTTGATAGTGGATGAAGGAGCCAATCTGGCGTTTATCTCCAAGACCTGGGTGGGTGAGCTGGGGGGAGTGCATTTTGCCCAGCTTTGCTTGTCTGGTACTTTGTGCAGCATCAACATAGACTAGAGGATCTGGGATAGGAGTTGACTTCTCCTTCTGGGGACTGGCCTTGCTGGTTTACCACCTAGCCTACTGCCCAGCAGCTTTCCCAGCTGTGTTGGTTTACTGTAGTGTGGTGTTGGGAACTGTTGTCATGAGAGACTTCAGCATGCATACCATTGGTGGTATGGAAATCAGAGATAGTGTCCTCTCTGACACTGTGGGGTAAATCCTGTCCCCTGGTATACTGCGGAGCTATGTGCTATTAAATAGGCTGCATGACTGCTAGAGCAGATGGTGAAAGTACCACTGCAAAGTTGACCAAGCATGAGTTAGAGCACATAATGGTGCCTACTTAGTGGTGATGAAAACAATGAAGTAGGCCTACTCCATTGGATCATTGAGTAATTGCCCAGTGGAGCTCTTCACTCTTCAGGGTGGTCTGTGGGCTCTTGAGACTTATATTGGTAGATGGAACCCACCCAGGACACCTCAGAGACCCTTTGTGATTTCCTTGCTGCGTGTTTTGAGGGCAGTCACCTGCCTTGGTAGTGAGCTTGATGCCATGGTTGACACAACTTCTAGTAAGGTTTCCAATGCTCCATCAAACCTTTCAATGTGAGATCAGTTTCAGTTCTTGCAGCCCAACAACATGTGCCAAGTGCTTGCAAGTATGCACCCAACCACGTATCCTCTTGACCCTTATCTTTCATGGCTGATTGAAGCTAGATTGGAGGTGGGGAGCTAGGTGTTTTTAAGTGGGGGTGGGGTGGTGCCTTCCACCTTGAGGGAGACACTAGTGTGGCCAATCCTGAAGATAACGTTGTACAAGTGTTTCTCATCCCCCCTGGCTCTGGAGCTACAGGTGCTGAAGGACACCATATTATCTCCAGTGCTGTTTAACATCAAATCATATTTGGAATTAGTCATTAGGAGATTTGGAGTGAGGTATGATCAATATAGGGATGCGGGTGGTGCTGTGGGTTAAACCACAGAGCCTAGGAATGCCGATCAGAAGGTTGGTGGTCCGAATCCCCATGATGGGGTGAGCTCCCATTGCTGGGTCCCAGCTCCTGCCAACCTAGCAGTTTGAAAGCACGTCAAAGTGCAAGTAGATAAATAGGTACCGCACCGGCGGGAAGGTAAACAGTGTTTCCGTGCGCTGCTCTGGTTTCGCCAGAAGCGGGTTAGTCATGCTGGCCACATGACCCAGAAGCTGTATGCCGGCTCCCTTGGCCAGTAAAGCGAGAAGAGAGCCGCAACCCCAGAGTCGGACCTAATGGTCAGGGGTCCCTTTACCTTTACCTTTATGATCAATATGCTTATGATGCCCAACTCTATTTCTCTGTGACATGTGAACTGGGTGAACTATTCACAGGTCCAGGGAACTGGCCTGGATGGGGCTGCACTCTTTCTAAAGGAGCAGGTTGTTGTAGACCCAGTTATTGGAACCCCAGGTGTTCCTTGGTGCCTTTAACCAGCTGCATTGTCTTCTATGTGGTATGAAGGTTGGTCTCAAGGATACAGCTGGCCAGAGAATTAGGAACTGGAAGGTATATAATGTCATGAATTCCTTAGAACTTTTGCCGACTCATTAGTTGCTCAGTGTTTTAATTAAGCAACACTGAACTGTGTTGAAGTTTGCTGGATTCCTGAGGGTTTGGCTTTAATCTTGAATTTCTGAATTGAAGGACTAGAAAGATTTGCAGGATTTCTTTTTGCCCCATGCCCCTCTTAGAATGTGGACAGGAATTTATGGTGGCAACAGCTGTAGAGAAGTCCAGTAGAGTGACTCTTCGATACAGTGCTGTTGTCTTTATTAAGAAGCAGTAACAATCACAGCAATATGTTCTATTTTTACATTCTGTTATCTGAATTATTACTGGCAGGCAAGGAGAAGTGCTGGAAAGTGTTGTGGTTTTTCTTCCCGGGAGCTTTTATTACCTTGATAGAAAGACTTGATTAGACACTGGGGCTTAGTTTATGATACAACTAAAGTCTATATAGTTAGGCTAATTCATAGTTTAACATGTGCAGGGAATTAATCTTACAAAAGGTGCTGTGCTACAATCCACATGGGCTGGCAGGAGCTTTTGTTAAGCGTCTGCATTCATGCAGTCCTTACAACACGGCAAATAATGTTTTAAAGGCAGGTTGTTTCCCCCCATAACTTGGTTTTTGAACCTGTGAACATCTGCTGACTGAAAGGTGCTAGGTTCAGGGGTAGCAACTGTGATGTAGGTCTTGCCCTGTGGCAGTTGCTTAAAGTGGCAGATTTCATGGAGCACACAATTTTCCTGCTTGTCTGTCATTTTGAAAAGGCAGGGGAGAAGGGAATCATAAGACACACTGCCTGTGATGTTTGATCTGTGCTGGTGGTGTGACGCATGAAGCAATAAGCATGCATTTAGACATCCATCTAGGAACTGCATCTTGATTTCATTCATTCAGATATTTGCTGAATGATAATGACGTGTACTATATATGTATTTTTATCCATCTTATCACTTAATTTGCGTTTCATTTGTCAAGTGGAACTGGTTGGTACGTGCAAATATTACATGTCCTGTAATTTACCAGCCAGCATTTGAGCAGAGGGGAGTCTCACTGGACTTGGGATGGGTGGGAAGGTTTCAGGTTTTAAAACAACAAAACTGGTATTATAGATGATTGGGGTGTATTTTGTTTTGTCTTGAAAGACTCTGGAATCCCCACAATACTCACCACTAAGCAGCAGGTGGCAGTGTAAGCCCACTTGTTTGAATAAATTAAAGCGTCAGAAAGAACAAAAATGAAAAGAAATTATTTATTTTGCTCCATATTAGTCTTGTGACCTAATCAGTAAAAAAGTCATTATTCACACAACACTGGGCAATATGCATTGTAATTTTTAACAAATAATGGGGAACTGTTAACGGTTTCACAGGAAATACAGCCCTGTCTTGTGCAGCAGTGGTCATTTATCATTGCACTTTGTGAAATCACTCATTTGTTCTAATTTGAATGTAAATGACTCTAAGGTTTTACAAATAAGGTGACAGACTCACATAAATGTAATTGCAGGGTTCATCTCTCTCTTTTTATATATCACTCATTAAGTTATGAATTAAATACATCGTATTAAACCAGGGGCATGTCCAATGATGATATTGTAATGGCAAATTACTCTATGCTATTAGAGGTGTATTTTTTATTCATGGACATTAATTTGTCATTAAACGGCATTAGTTTAGCACTTTTATGTGGGATACGTGACCTGAAAGAGGAGACTTGCTTCTCTAATGTGAGAGAATAGGAAATATGAGTACCAGATGCATGTAGCCCTTTTAGCTCTTGGAAAGAAATGGAGGAATATTTTATTTCAGCTTCCCCAGTCCTATCCACCCACATGCACAAAATTTTTAAATTGGTTTTTATCCATGTTAATAGACATCTCTGAAGAATGAGTAGCCTTCATATTTTAAATCTTGTTTCTCATCCAAAAGCTACTGAGAAAGGTTAAGATGGGAAAAGAATAAGTTCATCTTCAGATGTCTGTCAGATGCTTGCCGGGTTTTGAGTGATTATTCTTTTCGGCAGCCTAAAATAGAAGTGATAATCTGCTTTGCTTTTAGCAAAGTGGGAAACTTATTAGGTGGGCCCTAGGACTTCTGTTCTCTCTCTCTCTCTCTCTCTCTATATATATATATATATTCATGCTTACATAAAGTAAAGCCCCTATCAAATATGAAACCTGCACCACAAAAATAAGAACACATGTTCAGTACTTGGAATGAATTAATGAAAAGTACATATGAAATTTGAATAATCTGCTCTTGTTGGCAAGGTCTGGGTTGATAGAATCATATAGTTGGAAGGGACCCAAGGGTCATCTAGTCCAACCCCCTGCAATGCAGGAATCTCGGTAGGGAGCAGAGAAAGTGTATCTTAAAGTTGGGTAATCAGGCTGAAGAAGTAGGTTCTAAAATGTATCTGCAGGCCATCAAAGCTCTATTGTGCCATTGCAGTCAAGAAGGTTTTGAAATATCCTGAAGACCCCTGCCTCAAAGAAAAAAGCAGGATCTGTGGGTGGAAACAGATTGCCACATTGCTGGTTGCAGCCCTGAGCATACAAAGAGTGCCAAATCTGGAAAGTAAACTTAGCAGGGAAGATGTGGCGCAGGGTGTGAAATATTGGGAACAGTAATGGTTTTGACAGGACTGGTTCTCTCAATCTCTGAACCACAGCTAAGAGAGCAAAAGTCTCCTGTGGACATGCAGACTTCCTCTTTTCTATCTCCTGTACCCCACCTTCCTCATCTCTTTTTCAGTTAACTGTGATTAGCATAACATCTGAAACAATGTTAATGATAATGATGGGATTGTGCAAAGCCAAGTTAAAGATAACCATGGGTTAGTATTAAAGCACATGACTTGACTAGGATTAGAAGGGAGGGGGGCATTTTTAGCAAGAAAGATATAGGGAAAGGCAGTTTGGGAACCCAAATGGTGCTTCTAATCTGGGGTGGGGAGGGTTGCCCTATTTCAAACAGTGAAAATCTGGAAAGAAAAGTTGTTTGCTTAGCTTTTTGGGCAAAATTGCAAACAACAACAACAACAACAACAACACAACCCTGTATTTGAACTATTTTTTTTGTGGGGGGTGGCAAAAACAGCACTGCAACACGGGCAGATTTCCCCAGAATTTTTTCTCCATTTTTGCCTGGACACTGCTGCCGACTGCAGTATTTTGGATATGTCTGGACCTATGGCAACCCTAGGGGTGGGCAGCTTTTCAGTGGTGCCCCCCTTTCCCTAGAGTGGCCCACTCGATGTCTATAATGACATCTTGTCAGCATTGGGCCATGGTCTTTCTGTCTACCCAGGCCTTTTAACGTATTTTAATATTTTTAATCCTACGTTGACTTGGGCTACTGTTCCTTTCTCTCATTGGATGTTTCGTTTTATAATTTGATCCAAGCTGTGTGCTTCCTAGAAGATTTGGTTAATAGATGATGGATACATTATTGTTGTATTATTTATCAATGACATGATAGATCTCCTAGGAATTTATCTGCCTAAATACCAGTTGAAATGAATGGAAGATACCCAAGAACACTTGAGATATTTGCATAAATCCTAATTATGTCAATGAGGTTTGTAGAGGAGCTTCATGGTCGCTTTTTGCCGCAGAAAGTATGCCTACCTGTGTGGATATTATGCTGCAATAGATGTGAGTTTGCAATTAAGCCTCTGCAGGGTTAATACAGCTATGGTGTGGCAAATGATATAAAATGCTGGAAATTGTAGTGATTTTGAAAGGGACTGGTTTTCTTATATATATGTTGATCTGCCAAATCTAAGGTGTAGATAGTGTTTGATTATATAGTCAAATAAAAATCTGGCATTTAATATAGGATGGACATTGGTTTGCCAAGTGCGCTCGGTCTTTCTCTCTGCGTGTGTTTGTGCATATTTGGGGGAGGAGGTTAATCTCTGTAGATAGGATTTTATATATGGTTTCCACATAATTTTAGTATATTACCTATTTCTTATTAGTCAGTATCTATTGTCATAAAATGCAACCAGTTAAAGATAAAACTATCTCTTTATTGCTGTTCAGATATGTATACAAACTCTGTACCTCTAGCTGGTAATTTGCAGTATATACACTTTTTGATATTTTAAATTGAATTATCGTTTCATCTTGGAACTGATGAAGGGAGGGGCAAAATCACCTTCAGTGCATCATGTTTGCGTATAGGAAGGGCTGGTGGTATATGGATGGAAAATCACGTAATACCTTGATTTATAATTATTCTGTAATCCAAAAACAAAGCAGGTGGAGTAACAACTGGGTATGATGCCTTGGATATTAATGGCTTGGCTGAGCGATGGAATTTCTAAAGCTGTATACACTTTTTCCTGTCTTAATTATGCATTCATTAGAAGCTTTTATACCCAACAGAATAAAGTAAATATTTTTTGATCTCTGTAGTGTGCTCCCAGATTGTAGATTTGCACAGCAGGGTCTTGATAATCTGAATAAATTGTATTTCCCTAAGGAGTTTATCTTTCAAATAAGGTCATAAAGAAATGCAGTCTCTCCCCTTAGTTCTCCTTGTGTTTTTCTTTTCTTTTTATAGCACAGCACACAGGAACAGAGGTATATTGTACTCTGCTGTGTACTTGGTTGTGATTAACTCTCATTTATCAGCCTCTTACTTACATACATCCTTTCGGTGGCACATGCAGTGCTTTTCTTAAACGTATAAAGAAAAACAAGTGATATGAAATAATACTAAAATAGAATGTTGATGAGTATTTCCCTATACACTGTAGTTGGTGTCTCTTTTGGCATACATAATGTGTATATGTTGAGAGCCATAGGTACAGTATAATTTGCAGCTGTGTGAGCCATACAAATTCACGGGACTCATATATATCATTTATTAGGGGTGTGGGCACTTTGAAAAATATCCTGCAAGCTCTCTTGTAAATGTTCTGCTAATCTGATGCAATAAGATTTTTTAAGTGCACGCTCACGGTTTAAACCTTTCTGCAACCCAATCCTGTTCACATTTACTTTTTAAAGTAAACCCCCCTTGAATTTAGTTGCATTTTTTTTATTGGCTTGTGGGTTGGACTAGATGAAGTACCTTCCAACTTTATGATATGTTCCCAACGTAAGTGTTCAGAGGGTTGCAGCTGTATGCAAAAGTTCCTATGTTATTTTCAGTAAGGCTTCTAGAATACAGATGATTGAATTAATTTTAAAACAGAGTTTGAAAAGAATTGACACACATTCACAAGCTATGAGAGCATTTTCATGAAGCAAAACATTAAAGTATTTTGCTTCGCTTCTTTACATTTATACTCCACCTTTCCATTAAAAAAAATGCCTAAGGCAATTAACAGTAAAATTCAGAACAACTCCTCTCCGAACTAATTCATAAACAAGCAACCAATATCACAATAAAATAAAGAGGAGTTAAAAATGGCAGGCAGTTTAAAGTGTTATTAAATTAAGTACGCTTGATCACATTTTAACCAACCAGGCTAATCACTGCATGAATAAATAGTAATAAAAAGCATGTGTTAGATGGGAAAAGCTCCTTCTGATCATGTAAGTATTTTGATCCAGTGCTGGCAGTGGGGAACTTTGATTTCCTCCCTTCCCCTGCAACCTCAAGTATCACCTTCCATATTGCTCTATATTCTGAGCAGATTTGCACTCAGAGGATGCTCTTCCTGGCAGGACCAAAGTCTGGATCCAGTCACTAAATTAAGAAACAGGGCATAATCCAATCAATGATAAATATTGTAAGCCTCACTTATTTTTATATGGTATAGGCTTACACTTTCCAGTTTGAAATGAGTAGGTTTAAGCATGCTTTGGCTGGGTTGTGCCATTTGAACATGCATCAGTAGAGCAACATTTAGCATTGGCAGTCTTCTCCTTAGTTTAATGTGCCCCATTTTCTTACAAAGGTACCCAATAGCTAATAGTGATATGATTTATTGCAGCCTGCAGGAAACCTGGCTACCATTGGTGACTGAGAATTGATGATTGGCAGTGGGCCTATAAATTATCCGCCTGACCCACGAGAGAACACTTGAGGACAAGTTGAAGGAAACTGCTCCCACCTGAGTTTTCTGTAGTATCAGAAACCTATATGAGATTATGGGAGTAACAAAATAGGAAACAGGGATGGGGAAGCCAACCAGTGATTGTCAACATTATTCATTAGTGTGTACCTCTGAATTTGCAGGCAAGCACAAAAGTTGAATAGAGCTATGTTGATGGTATACATTATATAGAACAATAAATAAATAGTTTGATGGTCCAGACTTTCACATGTGTATGTTGACATTCATTGGACTTCAGTGCAACATTTATAATAATAAAATGGTAAAGCATTTGAAAGTGAAATTGCTATCACAAGCTATGGTCAGTTCTGGATTGCTCCTAACAACTATAACTGCATTTCTGAACTGAATTACTTTTTAGTAGATGTCTTAAAAAATACTACTGTTCCTATAACATTTTTGTTTTGAAATGCATTCCAAGGAGGCAGTTTAGATTGCTGTGTTTCAGATAACTGCCTTAATATATTTTTAGGGGGGTGGGTACCAAAAGAAGATAAAAAGTTCAACTCCTGCAGACAATTCCTGTACTTTTGTCATGTCATTATGCTTCCAAAGCCCTATCGCTGATTGGAAGGTGGGTTATCTGATCAGTAATATACATCTCACAATCTCAGCATGACATTTTTTGGCATGCAGCTTCATCAGCTGGGTAGCAGTGTATCACAGTGTATAATTTTAAGCTGAAGAAGTGATTGGTATTACAATGGAGTGAATTTTGTTGGAGGAGGCTGATATACTTAGCTTCCTTGGCTGTGGAATTCAGAACTAAAGTTCTTGTATCCTGAGTGGGCAAGGACTCAGTGCTGTTTAAAATAATAATGTGGGACAAAGTTTGAGATCCTTAAAAGCTCCATATTCAAGTTGTTTATCAGACTGACCATATGTAGAAGAGAGGTAGCTGATAGCTGCAGCCCAGTGGTTAAAACAGTGGTTAAAAAGCAGGACTACAACTCCCATCATCCCTTGCTAGCTAGGGATGGTGGGAGTTGTAGTCCAACAGCACCCAGGGGCCCAAGTTTGAGAAACACTGAGTGAAAGCATAGGTTATAGAGAAGTCAGTGTGGAACAGTGAACTTGGGAGGCATGGGTTCAAATGTCTACACAGCCTGTCACTGTATTGTGGCCTGATTTTCCTACAGGGTTACTGCAAGAATAAAATGTGATAACAGTATATAATGCCAGTATAGAAAATATGGGGAGTGCTTGTGGTAGCTAATATCAATAATTTTTCTTTTCACACTGGCCAGGATTTGAAGAGCAGCATTAGATGAGCCCAAGGACTGGGCTCTCCCCATTTGATCTTTTTAAAACTTGGAATGGTAGATTCCAATCTGCTTTTGAAACTCTCCTGAATTTTCAGAAGCCTTGTATGGGGTGCACTGTTAAAGAAACACAAATTTATTTTGAAATAAGAGAAGGGCTTCTTCATCTGAAGTCATCTCCCACACTTAAAAATAATAATATTGAGAACCACAATTATTTACTTGAATCCAATAGAAACATCAGCAAACAAATAACTCCAGCCAAAAAAAAAGACTCAGCAACTGCAATGGCATGACGGCATAATATTTTTTCTCATTATGGGTCTCATCACCATTATCTTAGTTATTCAAAGGACCTGACATCTTAAACAACATCAACCGATAATTGTCTGAACACTTGAATCCATTATTTTTTCATCACATTTCAGCCTTGTACTTTCAGTGATGTTAGCGAGTTGTTTTTCAAGTTATGACATTGGGATATTGTATCCCAAAATCTCAATAACTGTGGGCACTCCACCAGAGATGAATATATGTGCCCTGCTGGCTATAACTTCTTCAAACCCTAGCACTAGGCCTCTCCCAAAACTGGGGACATGGTACCTAGCAGATACATTAAATCTCATCAGGGCATGATACCATATGTGGATTGTTTTTAATATATTTTCTCTGAAACAGAGCCATTTCATCTTCTGGATGCTCTTTCAGGGACTAGGTGGAATTTATTCCCCTATAACTCTGTTCTAAACCACCCTAAGAAAGACCAGGTTTCCTGAGGTATCTTCTGCTAATGTAAACCCCCTCAAATCATCATCTTCACCCAAAGCCAAGGAAGGTGTGACAGCTGTTGTAGATTGTTCTCAAATTTCCCTGTTACAAAAGAAATTTGATTGATTTACACACTAGCTAATCTGTCTCTCATTTGTTCTTTTGTGAATCAGCAGATGTTGGTTTAGAAGTCCCTAAGTTGGTACCTTCCCTTTCTAGCCCCTAAAATTTATCTTTGTCTGTAGATAAATGAATTATTTCATATGGGAACAAGGTTGGGTTTATTTGGGATTAATTCGGATTACCATGTTTTCTTCTATACCATAAATATGCAGTGTTTGAACACATTGCAGAGTTTTTCAGTTCTGCTTGAACTTTGTACTCCTAATTTTTCTTCTTCTTTTATTTGACCAGGAGTTAAATAGCTTTAATTACTTGGACCTGTATAAACTTGCTGACCTATTTAACCTCACTTTACTGGAAAAAGCGGTGGTTGACTTCTTGGTAAAACACCTATCTGAGCTACAGAAGAACCACCCAGAAGAAGTCCTGACGCTACCATACTGCCTCATCCGAGAGGTCTTGAAGAGTGACCGACTCACGTCACTGAGCGAAGAACAAATTTGGCAGGTAAAGTGCAAAGATAAGTGGAAGTGTATGTTAAACTGTAGGAGGACTAGTACTGTGGACCCTTGAGCATTACAGAAAAGAAAATGATTAAGAACAAATCACGCTTTTCGTGGAAGCAACAGATGAAAATTATTGATGCACAATCTGACTGTGGCTGTGTACTGAGGAATTGTGACCGTGTGCAATGGAATGCTGTTCCAGCAGAACTCATGCTTCATGACCAAACCCTCGGGTGGGGGAGAGCTGGGCAAGGATAAAGGTAAAGGTACCCCTGACTGTAAGGTCCAGTAGCAGATGACTCTGGGGTTGCGTGCACATCTCACTCTACAGGCCGAGGGAGCCGGTGTTTGTCTGCAGACAACTTCAGGGTCATGTGGCCAGCATGACTAAGCTGCTTCTGGTGAACCAGAGCAGCGCACGGAAACACCGTTTACCTTCCCGCCGGAGCGGTACCTATTTATCTACTTGCACTTTGACGTGCTTTCGAACTGCTAGGTGGCCTATTTTGTGTAATGTCCTAATGCACTGAGTGTCCATCCATGTGTTCTGAAGGTGACCTCTGTTACGTCCTTTGGATACCTCTTAATACATTGGAAAGGGTTGCCCCCTTGGTTTTTATATCTGCAAAATATGTTAGTTTGATCTAAAGAAAAATCATTTGGGAGATCACATTCTCTGCTTTGTTGCATAATTGTGTGGTCTAAATTATTAAGATGAGAGACTGTTGTGCTGCCCCTTGGTGTTCAGTGTAATCTGGTTTGCAATGAGACAAAAATGCAGTGCCATCCCTGAAATGTGTTTTGCTAAGGAAGAGATGCAATATAGATATAGATATAATGGAAGCCAGAAAATCTAGTGTAAGCATCTTAAACTACAGTAGCACATAGTATAGCTTACACCTCTTGCATTAGTGTATTATTTTCCCAGTACTAGCTTATGCTTATTGGAAATTTGTTGAAGGGCAGGGTTTAAAGCAACAACCTCAATGATGATGATAAAGGGACTGGTTCATGAAATTTGTATGTCCACATGAACTCCAGTAGTTCACAGATCCTTAGACAGCCCCACATCCTATCCCTGAGAATTGTGTGGCGTCACCAAGTTTCTGAACTGGGCTACAATGGCAATAGGCTCTTCTTGCAAGTGGGCACTTCTTACTAGGACATTCCATAGTGCCTATGCATGAGGAGTGTTTTACAGAGTGACTTGGCAGCACCTTAGTATAACCACCTTTGCCCTTCTCAAAGGGGTGAAGGAGGGGTGAATATTCAATCTCAAACTTTTATTGGCATATAGACAAAATTTTGAAAGGTTCAGTACAATAAAATCACTCGGCAAAATCTGAGTCTAACAATTAAAATTGCAAAGAGAGGATATTTCCCCACACTCAGTGGACACTGGGACACATTATTGTTTAGCAGGACATCAGAACTGGGCCAGATGGAAGAGCTACTTGTGCAAGTGTTTAGAGCAGTGGATGGGTGGTAGCCAGTGTCTTGGTGTTTTACTGTTGTTTTAAAAGGATGGAATAGTGGGTATAGGTGGCGACCATTTTTGGAGAGAGGCTCCATTCTTGCCCCCCGTGTGTGTTGGTGGAACATGCATAAGCCCGCCTCGCCCCTGTTTCCCCCCCTCATTCTACCCTCTTCTGGGTCCAAAAGGACTGCCACATAGGCAGTTGCACGTCAGTTGAATGTGCACAAAATGGTCGCCACTTGTATACCTTCTTTGAGCAGTGAGCATAAAATTTGTGCCTTCAGGAGAACCATTTAACCATGTTCCAAGGTGTCTAATGCAGCCCTGTATTTTCATAAAATGTGTCTCTCTTCCTGTGCTGAAGGATGACAATAGGTGTTTTCTTTGGTGTATTTTAGGTTTCCAGAAAGGAAACCCCCATGAAAAAAAGTGTGTATATTCTGTTCCTTTCACACTTGCAGCTAGCACTGTGTTCCTTAGTGGTTAATGTGCTGTTTTCTGAGTGGCAGCAAACTGTACACTGACCACTTTAGGTGTTATCATAATTGCCTCTCTAACGGTTACTAATGCTGTTACGTAGAATATTTAAGCTATTTTACTGCTGTGGGCAAATATATATATATATTTCATTCCTGGTCCTCCAGAATGAATTAAGACATACATAAATATTTGCCAATTCAAGCTTTCAGTGGGCAATAAGAAACTGTTTTTGCTTTATCTTAGTAAATAAGTAATTCCCTCATAGTCAACCCAATACAGGAAAATCAAATCAGGCCTGCTCTGTTGCCTCAAGTGTAGTTAAGTTCATCATTTTTGCTAAGGTTATACTGGTAATGCAATATACCATGGAAGAATCTAATATTCTGCCCAGGGTGAAGATTGGGTATGCCAGAGGATTAGTGTCAGGGTGCTTTATAGAAGTGAAACTTGATATACAGGCTGGAGACAGAGCTACAGAATCTCATTAAATTGCTGAATTGTTCATTACTGAGCACTCTCCCTTTAATAAAGTGCTCATTGACTTTGACAAATCCCCATCCCGTGTCTTAAAGGACAACAACAGTGCAGGAGGTGCCAGGAAAGGAAGAGGAAATTGCCCCAAATGATTGGGGGGGGGGAGTATGTATTAGGGAAGCTTATGAGGAATATTACTCTTTGGTTACTACAGCACGTTAATCGGTGTGACATTGGCAATGCCATATGTAGCCATGTTGTGTATGCACATGCATGCATGCACAGGAATAACTCTGATTTAGTATTCCACCCCAAGGCATCATCCCCTGGCTGAGCTTCCAATAAGCATCGGCCAAAATTTTAATGGTGTATCTCCTCCTTTCTTTTCCCAAGGGCAGGACCCCTGGAGTGGATGGCAATATTGTCTAGGCATAAAGAATTTCTTCACTGTGTCACTGAAGCGATGACTCACCGCCAATGTAGATTCAGGTTTAGGTAGTTAGACGAAAAATATATATCTGACTTTCTGAACACTATTGAGGTCTGACTACACATAGAAGTTATCTCAACTAAGCACTGAGCTGCAAGGAAAAGTCTTTCAGTATATAGTTCTGCATTTTCTTGTTTGCTGTGAAATATGCGCTTCTAGTAGTAGTGAGGGTGATGAGGAGGGATGTTGATGATAATAAACAACAATAATAAACAAGTTTGAAAAGTTTTAAGTGTTTTTGAACCAAAATGCCCTATGTGCATTTAACTAAATGAGCAGACTGAAAGCATTTTATTGATTAGATTTCATTTGCTTTCAATAAGAACGTTAAGGCCATTTTCTCCTTATTATCGCAGTCCATAGCAATCATGGGCAAAAGTTACCCTGTTGTGACTTTGGCCTGTGTTAAGCCTGGAGTCTGGGAGTGGGAACCATTTTGGGTGGGTGTGGATCCTTATTCCTCTCTCCACTACGCTCTACTGCCAATATTTAAGACCACATGCAATTGTTCTGATTCACAGGCTCAAAGGAGGGCTAGTGTGAGTGGTTTAATGCAGGGATACAATAGGATGCCCAGAATGCCAGAGGGATCAGTTCTGGTGCTTTCTTAGAATAAAATGTAGACTTACAAACCAACCTGCAGAGCCTTGCTGCCTTTACAGACTCTGGACAGACACCGAAACAGCAAGCGTTTGTCATGACTTGTCTGCACCCAGGAAAACATTTATGCATTAGTTATACATCAGTTTGGCCAGGGCCTCCCATTAGTCCACTTGCTGGCAGTTATCCAAGACTTACAGATAGCTCGCCTCTCTAGGCCAATAACCATGCATCCTACGCCCACAGATAGGCATAGCATCAAAGCAGGGCAATTAGCATTGGTTACTGATGTTAGCCTTTTATAAGTCCTAACCTGGTCCTTATGTATTTCTTTTAAGGACCATCTTTGCCCATAGTAACCTGTCAGTCTTAAAATTGGCATCAAAAGCCCTGGTCTCTGGTCCTGTGGATGGGTGCACTAGATTCCAGGGACAAGGGCCTTCAAGGCAGCGAGACTGCACTTACGAGTTCTCTAATCATTTCTAGGATGCTGTTGAAGACCTGCTTTAAAAAATAATTCTGGAAGGCACTTTATGTCCCCCTCCCGATACATTAATGATAGGCAACTTATGTTCATTTCATTGTTGACCTATTTTTTTATAGTGTGAGTTATTTGTGTGTGCGAATGTGATATAAATAACTCTAAATTAAAAAAATATTAAAACTAACCACAAAGGAAGGATATCCAAATTCACTGATTTTTGTGAAAGATTTTTCTTTTCTTCCTTTTTAAGCAGGCTTTGAGGTCTTGCTGTAGTTTCCTATATGAAAATCACTTTTCAAAATCTGAAACGACTACTTACCACTACCACTTGTAGGGAGGTAGGTCATCACAGCTCTGAGCTTCATTGAGAAGAAGGGAGTGATATATAAACAATAAAATAATAATGGTAATGATTATGATGAATCACTGCGGGCACATCAGTTTGACTCTTTCTGGTCATGTGACGATCATTTAGTTCTGCATCAGCGTGGTGGCATTTGACATACTGCCATTGATGCAGCAGTAAGAGACAGGGCTGTCGCGAGGAATTATTTGTCTATAGTACAAGTTCAACCCCCTCCCTTATTTAGTTGCATCTGTAAGATTTCTAATCTACCCAGAAGTCGACACAAGTTTCTTGTTCTGTCCATATATTTACAATTTCAGACTTTTCTCCCTTTCCAAAGATCTCTCTCTCTCTCTCTCTGAAGAAGTGAGGGGGAAACAAGGCATATAGTTTAGTAAGGAAAAAGTGAAACTAATATGTGAAGAAGTAATTAGGAGAATCTGAATGTTGTAGCAGTGCTGGAGACTAGGAGAAGAATTGTGAAATCTAGCTATGTTAGAGATGGCTTGTCAACTTGAAAGCCACTCTGAAAGTGGATATATATGGGAGAAAACTCTGGCAACATTAACTGTAGATAACAGATAGCAAGTATGTGTGTGTAGTTAGGCTTTCCACTTTGAGGCTCATGTAATACAAAGCATTTTGTTGTAAACTTGGGCTCTAATAGAGAAGGGAGGATGCAGCCTAAGGGAGGAAAAACACATTTATGTCAGTCGGAAAGTTCTACAAAACAGCCTTGGTAATCATCTATCTGCCAAGACCTTAAGGAAAAGAAGAACCCAAATTGGCTGCTGCAACCTGCTGATCAGGAAATGCATGAATGTTCATGCAGCTACCATTACTGGCTCTAATCTCCTGCGGTGCTGAGCTGTAGTCCCTGCCTTGGCAGCTCATAATGTGCTCTGACTGTACATCTGAAATCGGATGTCTGATTATATAGTTATTGAAATGGAATAGAGAAGAAGAAAAGGGTAGTTTTATTGATAATGTTTTGTATCATGACCTTTCTCCAAGGATGCAATTTTAGCCGCACAACAAGCCTGTGAGGGAGGTCAGGCTGAGAAACAGCGACTTGCCAAAGACTGCCCAATGACCATTCATAGCTGAGTAGTTTGAACAGGTATTCACCTCCAAACACAGCCAAAACACGCTGGACATAATAATCATTAAAAAGCAAAACAAAACTGGCCCTTGCAGGGCCTGATAACCTGTGTAGAAAAAACCTCAAAAGCCACAAATCAGAATTTATGGAGCTAAGGGAATGAAGTGACTAAGAAAAGTGGACGATGGCAGTCTGAGAAATTAGGTCCATGTGCAGGTCTTTCATCTGCTCTGATGGCTGTGTCTGGCTTCTCTGGACCCAAAGCTCAGGAATTGTTAATCTGTCGCTGGAGAGTTTATCTGCCCTTTTGATGTTGCAAGTTACTCACCTGTATTAGTATTTATTTAGTGATTTCCTCTGCCACACTCTCACCCTGTAAAATAAATACTTGAAACATATAGTTAACATTAACATTTTGTCCCTTAACCACAGATTCCAGAGGCAGCTAATAAATATAAGATATCGACATAAAATTACAACAATAAACGACAAAGTGCAGCAACCAACAAATTGCAGTTCAAAACTAGCCAATAGTATCAAGCTATTTCTAAAGCTGAAGAAGTAAGCAGCACGTTCTGTTTCCTTGTGAAGCTCATCAAGGAGGAGTCCAGTGGATGGACCAGAGGAGGGCAGTGGTATGTGGTGAAATTTTTCATAAGGGAACAGTTAGGGCCAGAGGTGCCAGCTTGTGAGGGCAATGTCATGCATGTGACATTGTGACATGCTGACACCACGCACGTGAGCATCGCGCCTCCCTCCCTAAGCCAGTCAGAAGCTTTGTGGGCTTTGCGAAGGAGGTGCCAGGGCTCTGACAGGATGCTGGAGCTTTCTGCCTCCTTCCAAAAACTGGATAGACTTTGGGAATATGGCAGAACGGATCTTGGACCCAACGGAACCCCGCGCCTCCCTCCCTAAGCCAGGCAGAAGCTTCCTAGGCTTTGGGAAGGAGGCACCAGGGAAACATTTAGGGGACCAGCCTAGTCCCCTTAGTCCAATGACTGCATGCCACTGGAGGAGGGAATACTAAACACCAAACTCCAGAAGTTGAGAGTACTCTGAGCAGGGTCTTGGAAGAACATCTGAATAGAGGCATGCAGGCAGCCTCATAG